TGAACTCGATGTCACGGCACCTCAAGAAGAGTTGAACGCGAAGTTCCAACAGGCCATTGACATTTATGGGGGAGTAGATGTACTTGTGAACAACGCGGGGTACATCCAATGCGGGGCCATCGAGGAGCTCACGTGAGTGTTGGCCTGAGGACTCCAAGTCCTTTGTTTGACGAAGCCAATTATGAAGGCCACGTTTGACTGACTGAGGCTTTAGACCGGAGGATATGAAACGATCCCTCGACACGAATTTCCATGGTCCTATCAACCTGACCCGCGCCGCATTGCCGCATTTCCGCAGCAAGGGCGAAAAGGGTCAAGGTATGATCATCTACATGGGATCGCAGTCTGGCTTCTGGGGAGAGCCTGCTGCGTCCGCGTATTGCGCCAGTAAATTTGCATTGGAAGGTAAATCCCTCCGGTATGCCATCTGAAAGTTCACGATGAAGCTGATAGTGTAACTCTTAACCGCCACAGGGGCCGTGGAAAGTCTCTCAAAGGAGCTAGGCTGGCTGGCACCGGGTATTAAGCCTCTCATTATTGAAGCAGGCATTTTCAGCACTGAAGTCATGAGAAATATCAACCATGTTCCTTACCGAGTCGATTTCTACCGGGGTCTTAACGATGCGTGTCGCGTGCGCGGAGAGGGCAACTACCGCAACCCACCAGGCAATGCGGTGGATTTGATTGCCAAGGTCATCCAAATTGCAAAGGGAGAGGGTATTGCAGAGGGTAAAGAAATCCCCTTGCGCGTGCCATTTGGCAGTGATTCTCTTGGGTTCCTAAAGGAGAAGGCGCGGGATATGATGCGCATTGCGGAGGAATGGGAGGAAGTTGCTCGTAGCACCGATTTCCCGGATCACAAGGGGCCTATGCCGGATATTCCGGCCTGAAGTGGGCACCATGGATCCATGGTGGGTCGTCGGAGACTGGGGAACAGGGTCATACCTACAAATGAGTTATGACAATTGTTATGTTCTCGGTACTTCGGATAAAAGACCCTGTGTACTTCCAGTAGAGATCCATCGAATGTCCAAGTCTTGACCAGCGGACTCCTGAGCTGAGCCATCTAGTTAGGAAGTCATCAGAAACCTTGACATGACTACTAGCATTGATCAGACAAAGAAAATATGGCTCGATGCTGATTCGAGGATACGATATATAAACGTACAGCATGAATTATATTAGTAACAGCTGACACATCAGTCTTCATCATGAGATGCTTACATAGAGGCCCAAAGGGGTATTATAAAATGGGTGCGAGATGATTTATATCAGTATTCAATGCTATCAACCTTTTTGTAATTGTTGTATGGTTAGTCATTCCAATCGGATTTTTGTTATCTGTTGCACTAAATTCATATTATGGATGAATAGCAACAGATCGTTGTTTGTTCAGGAAACAACTGTCCTCACAACCAATGAGACTAATGTCGCTCTGTAAACCGGGGAATAACCAATGTCGATCCTTAATCAACCGTTGACAATCAATGACAAGACCGAGCCAGTCAACTTCCCCAGACTCCATCCCATCAGATAAGATCCACCGCGTACCTGCTAACATCCCGCCTCCAAACTAACCGAAACTAGCTATTTTGCCCGAGGACCACATTCATGGCAAATAGCAAACAAGGTCCATCAATGAGAAGACAGCACGAAATGACGATCATCAACACCACTCCGACATATATAGTGCCTCTCGCGCGACCAGACTGCACCCCCGGCAAGTCTTCAATCTCAAATCACAGTCTCCTCACAATGCATCTTTCCACGCTGTTTCTCACGTTCCTAACCCTCTCACCTACCCTCTCCCAACCAACATCACCCATATCCGTCACCCAACTCTTCAACTTCAGCACCTCCACCGACATTGAAAATGGCGCCATCGACCCTGTCACCAACACTATGCTCATAACCACCTTCACCGACGCCCGTCTCTACATACTCGACCTCAATGACCCTCACCCCACCGCCAACCTCTTGACCTCCTTCTACCCCAACGCCACCGCCATCACCGGCATAGCCCCCATTGGCCACGGCAAGTACGCCATCACCGGTGGTGTCCGTGGCTCCTATCACTACTACAATGAAACGATCTACACCATCGACTTTGGGGCCTACGCAGCCAACATCACTGCTTCCCCGGTCACCAAAGCAGTTGCGCATCTTCCACAGGCAATCATGCTGAATGGTCTTGCTTCCCTCCCACGCCGTCTCACCACTGTCTTGGCAGCGGATTCCCGTGTGGGGTGTATATTCCGCATCAATACGCTGACCGGAACCTCGGACATCGTTGTCCAGAGCGACGCATTGTCGGCTCCGGCGAATGGGTCATCGGAGATCGGGATCAATGGATTGAAGACGCACGGAGAATATGCGTACTATACTAATACTGCACTGAAGACTTTTGGAAGAGTAAAAATTACTGATGATGGTATTGCGGTGCGTGGGAAAAATGGCAAGGTTGAAGTCGAGGTTCTTGCCACGTTGAACTCCGGGTTGGAGGAATATCAGTGGGATGACTTTGATTTTGATGAGGAGGGAACAGTCTATGTGGCTATGGGAGGTTCGAATGGGAGTGCGATCGGCACAATTAGTCCTGATGGTGATGTCGAGGTGTTGTTTACAAAGGTGGTTCGTGGGCCCACTTCGGTGCATGTTGTTGAAAAGGAGGGGATGAGGAAGAAGCTGTATATCACTACGAATAGTGGCGGTGGGCAGGTTGTGGAGGCGGTGCTCTGATGGAGGCCGTTATATACAGTACCATTGAGAGTGGATTAGCTTTGTGGTGGATTATAAATGTATGAGATAGGAATGAAGGGATGGGATCGGTGCTTGGTTTAATGGTTGAGAACTGGGTCGGTTTTTTCCCGCATTCACTGGCTCGCACTTTAACCTAGGGGAACGGACAGACCGGTTGCTCCCCGGGAAATCACTTTGACCAAAATGTTGGAATATTTATTGGAAACTGTTTCGAGAAAGGACATCGCATTTGTACCAAGATGGTTATCGGGCTAGGATTCAACCGGTAGACACCATCTAAAGCAATAGCCCGAAACAAAGAAAGGAAGAGCGGGAAAATAACATAACGTAGACAAAAGAATCCCAACTTCAACTCCATCGAAAAAAAAAAAAAAATTTCATCTCCGCAAGATGAGTAAAAACGCCCTAGCAGAAATAAATATGCACATAATAAGGACAAAAGAGGCAAAAATTTCAACACCAGTCAGCCATCCATCTCCTCGTTGAGATATAAAAACAAATCATCAAATGCACTGCGGTCATTGTTCAATCGCCCACCAGACACATAATCATTAGCAGAGTGCTTATCCCTGCCAACAAGCCTCCAGCTCCCTACCTCCTGCAATGCAAGAAACAGAATGCCGACAACCATCCCTACCATCCTGGGCCCGAAGACAGGCTTTGCAGGACATAAAAAGGGGGGGATGCCGAAGGGCATGTAAGCTTCCTTCTGTTCCTCGGTCAATGTAGCGAATCTCGAAGGCTTATATTCCAGAGCGTCTGTCCCCCAGATACTCTTGTCCAGATGACAGGCTTCAATATCTGCTGCAAAGGTCTCATCAACCGCACCATTCCTGCCATCATCGAAGCGGAATGTTCGGCGGACGCGTCGGGTAGGTGGATACAGACGAAGAGCCTCAGAGACCATTACTTCAGCAGAAATGCCGTCGCCGTCTTCCTGGAACTGCACCTTCGTAGGATGCAGTGCAAAGCTCACCATCTTATCAACCCAAACCTCATTGCGACTACGCCTTATCTCGAGGAACATGCGTAGCGCCACCCTCCAGCTAGTCTCATAGCCCGGAAGGATCACATTTAGCGGATTTTCGTCGGGCTGAAACTGATCAGATGAAGGAAAGAAAGCAGTGACGCAGTCCCGTAGCTCTTCCTTGTCTTCAAATGAAAGGATATCAGGCCCTTTAGCTAAGATCCAGGATTCGTTGATGCATCGTGCAAAGTCGGCGAAGAAGAGGTCTCCAGAAGGTGGAATCCGAGGTTCTAGTTTGAATATCCCTACCAGCACCAATCTCAGAGTAAGTGTCTGAGTAATACTGGCCAAGTGGATTGTACCCTGTGATGAGTTGACCCAGTAGCGTGCTGATTCTTGGAGAGACTGGGACAGATGGTTCCAATCCAGAGGAGTGAGATTTAGAAGCATCTTGATGTCCTTCACGTGCTGGGTCACAAAGTCTTCGTCGGAGCTCGTGAACGCATTTCGGATGCAAAACGCCGTTTTAAATCTGGAATTGGAGAGCGCGCGAGACTCGTAGGGTGAGAACAGATTTGTTTTGTTGGTGAACCGGCCATCTGCAGCGATTATCAAGCGACACAGTTTAGGTGTATTATACATGGTTGTTTTCTGTCGAAAGAAGTGGATAGAACTGTGTTGTAGAAATAGGAAGAGTATGATTACAGCGAGGCCTTTCAAGATCGTAGCAAACATTATGGAGAGGTGGCAGTGGTGCAGTTATCAACGAGAGTACTTGGCCAAGACAAACCTCATCGGAGTGATGATAGACATGGCAAAGGAGTTTTGCCTCCATTCTATGTTTCCAAAAGGTGGGAAGTAGCAGACTACAGAAGTCATTCACTAACCGTCGCGTGCGCAATTTCATTCAATGCAGTTTGGTAAATACAATCTAGCCTGATAGGCCCAGGACCTGTTTTTTGCAAACTAGCGCTCCAATCTGGGATAGCTAACTTCAGCTTGGAATAATATGGCCAGAACTTTGAGTATGTATGTATGTATGCAAGAGCGCCTGCGGCCGGAACAAGCCCCCGAGCTGCGAAATCTAGCTATACAGGACCCTATTTCCACTCTATTCCAATTCCCCGTAATATTACGGTATCGCTCAAATACCGTAATTCAAACATGAAGCGATCCCCAACTCCAACTGACCAATCAGAACGCTCTTAGCCGACCTCTTGTAGATGCCTTGTGGGCACCTACGAGGGCGTCGCATGTACTCAAGGGTCACAGATCATGTCTGATTCTGTAAAACCGCCCCACTCGAAAGGCTTCTTTTTACAATCCAGATTGCAGCAATGATGACTTTTGCAATTTCGACAACGCAACCGGGATCTTCAGCATCATATGGGCCAAATGTTTCCAGAATGAGAAACTTATCACAGGCTTCATTATTCCTGTAATAATTCTCAAGCTCCTTTTCATATTTAGCAAAGGTCAAGAAAATTTGGTGCCGGTCTTGAGATATAAGCAAAAAGCTGCATGAGAATCAAGAGTTAGTCACTTGTTTAGAGAGCTTGCACCTGGAACTTAACTTACTGGTCTTCGAAAACCGCTGATTCCGGAGACGTCATCATCAAGGCTGCTATTTCGCAAGCTTCTTGAATAATGACATGGTGCGACCGAAGAGCCTTCTTGACTTCAGTGATGGAGAAGACTTTAAAATCACTTGTAGAACGCAGCACTCCATCTGTGAAGGCGCGATATCGTCGCCCATCGCCAAAATCGGCAAGAAATCCAGCTCTGTTTAGCACCCACTCAAAGTCTGTTCGTTCTACTATGTGCGTGATTTCCTGAAGCAGAACAATAAGCGCCGCATTTGGCGTTGCTTCATCCTCCGCATCTCGGCACTTTTCGGACTTCTGATTGTTGGCGTGACTGTATAGATCGTGCGTTCCCTGTACCGTGGCTGTCTGCTCTTGCAGCCGCTTAGCAGCCATGAATGATCCCGGCCAAAGGTGAGCATGTGATTCCCTCAATTCCCGGATAGAGATGTGTTCTTGAAGAGTCCGAATGTATCCAGCCCAGTCTCGGGATTGATCAAGTAGGCTTGTTGCATCCCTCAACATGTTCTTACAGAATCCGAACTTGCTCATGTGATTGCTGAAGTGAGTGGGGTGTACGATTTTAGGCGAATAACAGCGTAGCATCAGATATTGTTTATCAGACGCTTGGGAAGCTGAGCCGAACATCTCAGTCGGCAAGGTCTTGATGGTTAACGCTTCCAATTTCGCGTTCTCCACAAGGTCCTGCCATTCCTCTGGACTACTGGGTAAATGGAAGCTTTCGACCTTTCCGAGTTTCTTTGCGGAGGATTTTTCAGAGTTCTCTTTCTCTTGTTCGGGAGGATTAGCTTGCATTGAAAGCTTCCTCTTCTTGAGCAGGGAAGACTTCATAGTCGTACTCGGAGATAAACGAGCGCACCAGATGTGAACAAGTGACTGCACGAGAAGACACCTCACAAGGAGCTAATATTGCGAAAGTATTAGGAGCATGAAAACTCGTCCAAGTGTGACAGTTTTGTGCTATCTAGAACCCCCACCAACCGAATCCTGTCTGTTTGCAGTTACTTCATCTATGTCGTACAGACACGCCAGACACATAAGACTAGACAGTAAGAGAATTACGATGAAAAATCTATAGGAAAGCATAATGTTAGAAGCTGTGCTAGGCTGACAGTGAGGGTTATTTGAATTTACAAGATATGGAGAGGCGTGAGAACTAGTTCCCTTCTGCAAGAAATTACAGGTTTTAATATAAAGTGCCTTTATATCGCATGTAGAGAAGATTGACTGTTTCTTGACTTGGGCAAACAATCACTGCTACCAGGCCGATACCTTAATCTCGCAAACAAAGGGGACCCAGTCATATTATCTCTTGCCTATGGACGGTAGGGTGACCTTGTGAAAGAGTCAACACAATAGTCACAAAACTATTTGGTATTAAAAGCCCGTGCGATTACCTAAATTCTTCTCATTCAGTTCTTTCTACATACAATTTCTCATCTCATGGGCATCATGTGCCCAGTTATGTGCGCTAAGATAAACCCAGGAAGTTGGGGACGAGCCAGACGCGATAGGTGCTACCTAGCCAGACATCCTCCGCACACAAGCGCTCTGTTCTATCAGGTGTTAAGAGCATTTTTGAACTTCGAAATGTAAGTCTTGATAGAACGACTGACATTTCGCCACAAAGATCCCCTACTCCACGATTCCATCTCTCGGCTTCTAGACTCCTGACTCGAGTTATCGGACAGGGCTGGAGGGACTTCAGCTACTGGCTGTGAATGACTGTTAGTCTTTCACTTAAGATAAACCACTTCCATAGTATATGGGAACTCACATCCATCATGATATTCATGTCAGTCGTGTTCCCGGTCATTTCGGAACACATAAAACTCACCACAATATCCATGCTCGAGATCGCCGAATCTTTGTTCGCGAAGCTAAGGAAATCAGATTTTCGAACGACGAGACCTCTATAATCATAGTGGGCCTCTAAGATTCTGAGCTTAAGACCAGGAAAGACGCTGATAATCATGATCTAGATTTGAGTCAGTCAGATGAGCTTTCCAAAGAACAACGTCTGAAGCTGACACGAAGATCTCACTTACAGGAATGATGCTGTGGTCGGGACAATTATCACTTTGTAACCGGGTAAACATGACCGTCAACATGACCATAGTCTCGTATTTGGAAAGCGTATCATTTGCTTCAGACTTCATAAAAGTTGCAAGCAGGATGTGGGGCTTGTTGAATTGATCCATAGCTATATAAGCGTACTCCATCATCGAGTCACGCGACACCCAAAACAGGGCATCGAGTTCTTCAGCAATGAGGTCCGGTGTGATATTCCCACTTCCAATAAGTTTGTCAGCTCCGGATCAATTCTCCTAGTTGTACACATTCATAAGTTTTCCAGGGGAGGAGGTGCTCACCATTCGATCCGGTTTGCGTAAGTCCGCAGCTGCAACGGCCTTCCAGTCTCTGACATAACATCGCGACGGCTGGTTCGGAAAATGTCTCGTATCCCGTCCACTAACTTATAAACTTGATCGGTCACCGTTGGTGGCTGCGGGCTGGGTTCGTCCCAATTGTCGAAGATCTCCTTGACAAACTTTTGCCCCAGATCATGGGTAGGATGAGGGGAGGGGACATTGTGCGCTCCGAGAGGATTAAAGAAGACTGGCGAGAGCTTATCCTGATGAGTTCCAGCTGTTGTGATGTGCAGATCCTCACATATAACACCGAGATCTTTCTGAATATCAGGCTCAATCCACGCGGCTTGATGCTTTGCAACTGCGTTGAAGGTGTCACTGATTTTTTCCATCACTCTGGTGCGCACTTGTTCCATTTTGTCGTGATGGATTCTGTCAGAACAGTCTTTGGCTGATGGAAAGATATATTAGCTTGGACAATGGGTTCAAGAGGGGTTAATGAAGTGAAGAAATAATCAGAGCATTGCTCGAAGGATGAGGGGCTGGGGGGTTCAGGAGTCATAATTGAATGCTCACCGTCAGAGAATAAGCACATTGTGGAACAACGCATTAGTGTTACCCAAAGCTGGGCTCGGGGTGGGAAGTATCAGTCGCTGTGAATAGACTAGTACAACAACTGAATATGCTGCCACAAGTCTGAAAAAGAGTCCATCGTGGCCGATTTAAATCTCTTCGCCGGGCCTCCCATCTCAATAAATAACCAGTTTGAAGAGAAAATGAATCATGGAATAACCCATTGTTCTGTCACTGGACTTGCCCCGATTTCACATGATAAGCCGATGTGTGAGGGCTTTGGGAAGCCCATAGGAGCATTTGTGAATAGAGTTTATCAACCATGTGTTAATCTTTGCCACAGAAGGTACTGTGGAATCAGCCTTCTAAACTAATTCAATTAGTTAATATCGATGGTTGAAATAACAGACCTGACTAAGATAGTAGAACCTTCCCAGCAAAAATGTCCATTGCGGAGAAAACCCCGAAAGTAGTACGGAATCCCCCGCCCGCCGGGAATCTTTCCGACCTCTCAATGAATCTTCCCCGGTCCCTTCCCTGACAATGATGACGATCAAGGCCAAAACAATTTAAACATCATGGAACAAAGCCACAGCTACCACCATTGCACAGAGATCATAACTACAATATCCATAGCGGTAACATTCGCATAACGCATAACAACAAAATGGAATACCAACGCCTCGGCAAAAGCGGCCTCAAAACCTCCAAAATCATCCTCGGATGCATGACCTTTGGCAATCCCGCCTGGGAAGGCAGTCCCTGGGTACTTCCGGAAGACGAAGCCCTCCCATTACTCAAGAAAGCCTACGACAGCGGAATCAACACTTGGGACACAGCAAACTCCTACTCCAACGGGACATCAGAGATCCTAATCGCTAAAGCCTTGGCGAAATACAACATCCCACGAAGCAGGGTCGTGATCATGACGAAGCTATACTATCCAGTCTTCGACCCGGATTCTCCATCGCGACCCAATCCCGCCATAAACGACGGTGAGTTGGTGAATCAGATGGGCCTGAGTCGAAAACATATCTTCGACGCGGTGGAAGGGTCACTTGCGCGCCTGAACACGACGTATATTGATGTGTTACAGCTACATAGACTGGATGATACTGAGCCAGAGGAAATCATGGGTGCACTGCATGATCTTGTCCGGATGGGCAAAGTTCATTATCTGGGTGCGTCGAGCATGTATTGTTGGCAGTTGGCGCGGTTGCAGTACACGGCGAAGATGAATAATTGGACGACTTTTACGAGTATGCAGGGGCTGTGGAACTTGCTTTACCGGGAGGAGGAGCGGGAGGTTAATCCGTTCTGTAGGGCTGAGGGGATTGGGTTGATTCCTTGGAGTCCGTTGGCTCGTGGGTTGTTGGCTAGGCCGTGGAATGCGCAGACGTATCGGTCTAGTCAGGATAAGAAGACGGTTAAATGGTTCTCTGGGGATCAGAACGAGGTTATTGTTTCACGGGTGGAGCAGTTGGCAAGGATGAAAGGGTGCAGTATGAGTGCTGTTGCTATTGCGTGGTTGTTGAAGAAGGGCGCGTGTCCGATTGTGGGGTTGAATAGTATGGAGAAAATTGAGTCGGCGGGAGAGGCGTTGCGTGTTGAACTGTCTGATGAGGAGGTTAGGCTACTTGAGGAAGAGTATAGGCCTCTCCCTGTGCAGGCTATATAAATACGTCCGAAGCAGGAGGTTTAATAGTCTGTGCGCCTTGAAGCAGTGAGATACAACTAGGACAATTTGGTTACTATGTGCTGATACAAACAGTGGATAAGTAGATTGAAGAAATTATCGGATATATATATCATCGCAAACGACTCTGAACATCATCTTCCCAGCCTGCCATACCTACGGCATGAAACTCGACACTAGATCAGGAAAGGTAAATTCCCCCATATCCGTGAACAGAAAATCATCAACAGGAGGCTCGGTAGAGCCCAATAGAAACATATTGTTCATAGAGCCCAAGGCCTGGGCTGAGTGTCCTGCATCACCAGCTACCTCTGCACGCTGAACCGCAGGAGGCAAGATGTTGCCAGTGTGGCTAGTTCCAGACATACCATCCAGTCCTAACAGGGTGACCGTCTCGGAGAGCTTCCGGGTCAGCCCAGGAGCCATTCGGCGCAATGGGTGATATGTGATGCATTCTATCCGGCGAAAGACCCCTAACACCGCACTAATGAGGTGAAGCTCTCCGCGTAGATCAATGTTTAATTGCACATGATGGTTGTGACATATCTCCAGTAACAAGTGGCCGGCAAATGCGATCATTACATGGAAATAGTGCGGCATGCCAACGAGATTCTCGCTCATCTGGGGATCATTTAAGATCATCTCAAAAATGGTGACGGTCGCCTCGTGAGCCATTTGGGCCGCGGATAGAAAAGGAAGGGGGATAGGATTGCCACGGAGCCCCTTGAAGACTTGATGGCCAAGGTATAGTTTCCCAAACTGATAGTGCAGCTCCAATCCTCTCCTGGGAAATTCCCCGATATGCGCATTCGTGACGAAGAGGGCAGAAAACCGGGTAAACCACCTGTCGAGTTGTCGTGAGTAATTCGTAATCTGATGAGTAAGGGCCGATGGCAGCTGCAACTCCTTGTCGGACCCCAAGACATCTCGAACTTGGCCCATGATTAAAAGCAGCGACACCTGCGACAGAATTCGTACGTCTGACTCAGTTGCCTCTGCGCGATGTAAGTATGATTCCCAGCTCACCGCAATATCCTTATCATTCCGCAGAAGTGAGTCGCGGTTGTGGAGGATCGAGAGGTGTTGATCGCAGACGAACAATAGATACCAAAGGCGAATGCGATCTGCTGCAACTATTGGTGACGCGCTTGATGGGGAGGAATACTCGGGCGGATGAATGCCAAGAAGAGAGTCGAAACTGCGATGGAGACGCATATCAGCTGCTCGACGGATGCCATCACTAGACAAGATACGTGAAGCGTCTGCAAGCCAAAAAGAAGCAATACACAAGGCTCGTAGATATTCCACGTCACGCTTCTCAAATAGAGACCGCGCAACCTGGGAGCGAAACTCGCGGTTACACGCTTCGTAGGTTTCCTGGTCATGGGGGTCATGGAGGGCTGACACAGTGCATATGGCAGCGAGGAGTGTTGGAGATTCCTTGCGTAGATGGGTTATATCCTGATTCTCATTACAGATGCCATAGAGAAAGTGATCTAGACGGGAGAAGTAGCGGTGCAGTAGGTTTTCTGCTGTTTCAACTGTGATGATGCCTTTACTAATGAGATCCACTCGGCCAGTGGCGCGAGTGACACCGGGTGGAATCTTCGTGGCGTTTGGAATTCCATGTTTGGCGATATCGAGGAAGGTATCAATAGGAGCCTGCACCGCTGTGGGTGACTCTGGTGGGGATACTTCGCATCCTTCCGTTGGACAAGCGTCACATTCACGGTCTGGCCCGATGATTTCTGTAATAGCTCCCTCCTCATTTCCCTCATTTGCTGATATTAGAAGTGGTCTTGGGCGTTGAAGGTCTAATGTCTGGCAGATGGTGTCAATGATCTGATGCAGATTCTGTACGTCGGTCCTCAGGTGCTCGACATTTCTGTAAAGCATACAAGTTTAGTCTACATAGTTTGAGGTGGAAGAGGGAGAAACTGACTTGGTATCTTCAACCAGAGATTGAAGACTTCGATTCAGTACACAAGACAGTGATCGCCGGCGACATCGAACGCAAGGTGGACCATTTTCTGGCATATCACATTTTGTCTAGGGCGTGGGTATTAGATTGAGCGATGTAACCTCTTAGACACCGAAGTTTCACCTTGTTTTTCCGACAGGCCACACATGCAGTGACCTTTCGGGTGATACTGGGCAAGACATTGACCAGCGATGCAATTGCTGCGGGTTGTTGCGGGCTTCTCTCCGCGTCTTGACGGGCAGGCGACTCAGACCGACCGGGATATTCCAGTGTGCCTTGCTGCTGTCGGGAGCTCGCCGAAGCTGGCGTGAGGGAGCCAGCGACCTCTTCCCTGTGGCCGTCGGCTTCCGTTGCGGATACCTGTCGCTTGCGCTTGACCATGTCGAGTTGTAGCGCTTTTGATATCGCTAAAATTTCATTTGTCTGATAATTCTGAGGGTTGTTGAGCGTTCAGCCTGGTTACCCCGCATTGTCGGTTATGTTTATCCCGGTCTTGTCGGGAGAAGCCCGAGTGGTTTGTTATAAAGACACTAACTAGTAGTTTGTAGTATTGAACAATATTCCAGATCACAACCATGAGTTCAGCAATTCCACACAAGAGCAAACCGTTGCCTCCGGGCATATACTGCCCAGTAATCTCTTTGTTCAAAGGGACACCCCGGCAGGAGATTGACTACGATGCTTCCTACAAGTTCTTCACGCATCTCATCCGGAGTGGAATTGCGGGACTCGTACTCGCTGGCACAAATGCCGAGGCGGTTCTGCTATCGTCGATTGAGCGAAAGGAGCTATTAAGAACTGCTCGACGGGCGGCTGTGGATTTGGGGGTGGGTGACTTTCCACTGGTGGCAGGGATTAGTGGGCAATCAACCAACGAATCTCTTCGCCTGGCTGAGGACGCTCGTGAGGCAGGAGCAGACTTTGGGCTACTTCTGCCGCCCAGCTATTGGCCTAAAGCAGTCACAAAAGACGTCATTTTGGACTTCTACACGGAGGTAGCAGACAGCAACATTCTCCCAGTCGTTATCTACAGCGTAAGCTCTCTTTCCACACGTTATGCTTGCATGAAGGTGGGCTGAACTAGGACCTTAGTTTCCAGCTGTCTGCAATGGGGTGGATATGAACTCGGATGTCATGTCCACATTGGCGCAGCATCCCAACATAGTCGGGGTAAAGTTGACTTGTGGTAACGCTGGCAAGGTTACCCGGTTAACTCAAGAATATACGCATGGACAGTTCGGGGTATATGCTGGTTCATCTGACTGGCTCATCCCTTGTCTCAGCGGCGGCGGATCAGGCTGCGTGACAGGAATTGCTAATGTTTTCCCGAGATCAACTACCAAGCTATTTTCTTTGTGGGAGGCCGGGCACCTGGAAGAAGCGAGAAACTTGCAGGGGCTGATATCTCAGGCCGAAAAGGCTTGCAAGGAAGGCATTGCACCCACCAAGTTTGCCGCTGCACATTTTGCCGGACCAGTCGCAGGAGTGACGGACCAAGCAGCATTCCTCCCTCGAAAGCCGTATAAAGCATCATCAGCAGCAACGCAGGAATGGGTAATCAGTGTGATGAAGCATCTTGTAGATATTGAGAGTTCTTTGCCAGATGTGCAAAGGGGGTGAACAGATAGGCTATAATAGAAGGATGCTGTTTCATAGCTAGATTATGTTCGACGTTACTGAGGGTGCTATGGAAATCTACGAGTAGCTGCAAATACTAGTGAACTACTACAGCTCTTATGTACTTTAGTCTTTACTTGTACTGAAAGCAGATTTGATGTTTTGATCATCAAAGGAAACCACGCTTACTATCCCGTTGTTTAACTTTGTAACCAAGAAGAGGATAACATGATCTGCAACAGTGTATGTACGATGCCAAGCTATCAGGGCACGGCGGCCACTTTGCCAGTCATGCTTGATTCAGCAGCATAGGAGGGAAAACGGAACGATGGAGAACCGGATTGCTGCTCTACATGCTTCGTAAAGAAAACTATCAGTCAATGTTTGTGAGTAAATCTATCGCAATAGTATCACTATTAGTAAGCATATCTACAATGAGGCATATTAAAACTCGTATGCCTGATCCGTGGTGGCAGCACCTATCCCGTTAGTCCAAGTCCTGCCGATATCCTTCTAATGGAGCCTGACAACCATCCAGCCGGACCATCGTCAAAGAAGTCTTCCTTGAGCTGCACGTACTTGATCCGCTGTCGCCAAAATGTATACGCAATGTGGATCGTCCCATCAGCACAGATCATGCTGGGATACGACAGTTCTCGGTTGAGCTTTCTCTCACTGTTGTTCGTCAAACAATACCCATCTCCCTCCTCTAGTATTCGGTGCTTCCATGTGTTTCCCTTATCATCGCTCCAAGCAACACACAAGGGAGCTCTTGGTGACCCCCAAAACGACTCCCTGCCGTCCTTCGCTGATGCCTGATTTTTTCTTTCGTCCACCCCATCAGCAATATCGTCGTAAAGGCCTTGTCTTCTTCCTATAGCATCACGCTTGGAAGAATGATTGTAAACCAACACTACCCTACCAGAAGGCAGCACATCAAAGCAGATGCCTGCATTCGGGTTTGGGAGGGGGATCGGCTGCGGGGCACTCCACACTAATCCATCTGGCGATGTCGCTAGGTAGACGTTGTCAGCCCAACGGCTACGAAACATGCTCAGATACGTTTCATCCTTTAGTCGTTGGATCTCCATATGTACACACCCCGTGCTTTCGGGAATCTCTGATTCAGTCCAGGAACGGCCCTGATCTCTCGACACGCGGATGCAGGAAATGTCATCATTTCCCAGCCAGCGCTCTCCCGGCTGCACACGACACTTGAAAACTGGAACTACCCAAGCTCCATCATCAAGAACAACTACTGGCTGCCGGATGAAGGTACCGGTATCGTGGAACAAGACCTTCTCATCGCCCCATGTGGTGCCGCTATCGGGGGACACCCGATATTTGACAATGGCTGTGTCCTGGTCTCCAGCATGCTGGGAGGTATACAGAAGCCACAATTCTCCGGTAGGTGCGTGGAAAAGAACAGGATTCTGCTCGCTCCGGGTGTTGTCGTGGGTCATCTTGGACGCTTCCGTCCACTCACTCTCCCCGCATCTCAGCCGAGAAAGATATATGCTGATGTCGGGCTTTCCTTCTAGACTTCCGCCAAACCAAGCACATAGCAGATCGCCGTTTGGCATTTGCAGTATATTGGATGCATGGCTCTGTACCGTGGGTGCAGGCAGGTATGCCTCGCGGTAGAAGTAGGGTTTGTCCACGGAACGGATTGAACTGTCTGAAGGGAATATGGCAGCCATCGTCAAGAAAAACAGACTGGCTTAGATTAGTGGTCAAGACATCTCAGCTTCTGGTCCAAATTCCTCTCTCTTATTTCCAGAGCTCCAGCATGATGACCTAATGAAATTGCTTTGATTGGCTGATCTCCACAAAGGACCCAGGCCTTTCGGTCCAGCGCCGACGAGCCCTCGACGCTCGGAGGACAGTCCGACGATCGGCTACAGAGCATAGCTTGGACAGATCCCCGCATTTACCCCGGATTCAATACAGCTATCGCTCTGGGGTATAATGCAGATCATGCCGGAACAGTCCAAGAGGGGCTGCGATCATGCGCAGCTTCCCCTCCATATAATGGAGCCCATTTTCGGTAGCAACAAGGGTGTATTTTGTCCTATGTGGGGAGAGTCGTACCTTGGCTTTCACATTGACCAGGGCCAAGATTCCTTTCATTGCATGCTCAAGTGGTCAAACGTGTTGTCATCTAATTGTTGCCCTAATCTAAAGTCACATCTCAATGGCTGGAGGAACCAGCATCTGGGCGAGCCAGGAAGCCAGAACTGATCCCAGGCAAATCTTCAATGGAAGACTAGCCTATCTTTTAATTACCCTTGCCTGGGCTGGTTGGTTTTATGGCTTCGATACGGGAAATATCGGGGGCATCCTCACATTACCATCATTCGAACATGCATTTGGGCTCGATAAGCTGACCACGGCAGAGCTTGATAGCCGCAAGGTACCATACTCGCATACTCCCACAACGCAACGGAAAATGCTAACAGGATTAGGGGACCATTGCAGCGATGCTCGCAGCTGGCGGATCAGCTGGCTCTCTCTGTGCAGCCCCAACCGCCGATTTCCTAGGTCGCAAGTGGTCTGTTTTTCTATGGGGGTTTGTGTTTGTTATCGGTGGCGTGATGCAAATGATTGCCAACTACAAAGTACTCATTGCTGGTCGCTTCATCGGTGGAATGGGAGTTGGGGCCAGTTCGATGCTATCTCCACAGTTTCTTGCTGAGAATTCACCCAAGTCGGTGAGAGGGTCGGCAACAGCCATGTACAACCTCATGATTCTAGCGGGATTGATGGTCGCCTTCTGGATCAATTACGGAGTTTCTTTGTGGTCGTTTCCAGGTGTTGAGCAAGACAACACCCAATGGAGAACGGCAATGGGGATTCAGTTGATTCCTGGGGTCTTGATGTGCTTGATGATTCCTTTCGTCCCGGAAACACCTCGGTATCTGATTAACCACGGGAAGGAAGAGCAGGGACTGAAGAATCTCTGTCGGTTGAGGAAGCTTCCTGCTGATCATCCGTATATGCAGACGGAATATCAGGAAATTATTGCCCAGGTCAGGTTCGAGCAAGAATGCCATCAAGGACACAGCTACTGGGTCGTTCTTCAAGACATCATTTTCATCAAGAGCAACGCGAGACGGTTCTTCCTTGCAGTCATGCTGTTCCTTTTTCACAAGTTTACCGGCACTGATTCCTTGAATGTGAGTGCAGACTTTCTAGTATACTCCATCACGTCTTGTATTAACACAAGTCATGATAGTACTACGCCCCAGAGATATTCGAGCTTATCGGCGTGAACGGAACATCGAACAGCCTCCTCACTACAGGCGTCTACGGAGTCGTCAAATTCGTCGTTACAATCTTCTACGTCACCTACCTAGTCGACCGCGTCGGTCGTCGTCGACCACTTCTCGTTGGTGCTGTTCTCCAAGCAACCGCCATGCTCTACCTTGCCCTCTACCTCCGCTTCGCAGGTGCAAACACTAGCACCGTCGGTGGAACGCCAGCGGGAGGCATTGTTGGGATAGTGTGGATCTATATCTATGCCTTCGGGTGGTCATTTGGGCATAGTGTGGCCTGCTACATCGTGGCGGCAGAGATATTTCCAACCAGAATCGTACGTATACCCTGCTGAGCCTCTTTTGTGTAACCGTGTAATTGACTTCCTAATAGAGATCCGTCTGTATGGGCTTCTGCTTCTTCGTCAACTGGATCGTCGACTACGGTATCACTCGAGCCACTCCAAACATGATCACGAACATGGGCTGGGGAGTGTTTCTTCTGTATGCTATGCTGACATACGCCGGAGTGGTGTTTATTTACTTCTGTCTCCCTGAATTGAAAGGAAGGTCGATTGAGAGTATCGATGACTTGTTCCAGAGACCGTTGTGGACCATGTGGAGACATGCATATCCCACGGAAGAGGAGAAAGTGCGGCAGGGGATTCCGCAGCTAGCTAAGGGGCAAGCGAACGATGATGGGAATAAGCAATCCGTGGATCATGTCGAACGTGTCTAGTTTATTCTATTGTCTATAGGCCGTTTTCATTCTGTGTGGGGTTCTGGCTAGGGGTGCTTTTGTTGATATCTCTGTGATATAGCCCTATCAAACCTTTAAGCTATCCCCTACATTTTGATGGGGTTAATAAACTATATAACCCTATCTGTTATGGAGACGCCCACTCATAGTGATAATAATTTTGTACCAAACACAGATATTTTACGTTCTATAGTTTCCACGGCAACATGCCATTCTTGAATCGATCAACAGCTGTTCACTGCTGCATAATGAAACGACATCTGCACCAACTAAACTCGAATGACAACCTTTCCAAAATGCGAGCCGCTTTCCAGATACTTGAAAGCATCTCGTGCCTGGCTGAATGGGAACACCTTGCAGATGACAGGATGAATCCCGTGTCTCTCCTCAAACTTGATCAACTCCTCGAATCGATCAGTCGGTCCATTAACAAATCCCTTCAAAGTCAAGCTGCGACTCAGTGTGAGAAGATTAACATTCTTCTGCTCTCCAGAAGCTTGAGTCTTCCCAGAAGTATACCCGATGCAGTTAATCAGCCCACCGTACGCAGCACACGCAAAGCTCTGATCCATCGTCTGCGACCCACCCGTTTCGAGAATAATATCCGCGCCATGTCCGTTCGTGATCTCCATAACCTTATTAGCCCATTCCGGCATTTGACGATAATTTATACCAAAGTCTGCCCCGAGGCCCTTGGCCCTGGCTAGTTTCTCATCAGACGAGGAAGTAATGATGACTATGCCACAGCGTCAGCGCCAAAGTCATGTAATAATATATCAATGGGCGAGATAACATACCCTTCGCTCCAGACGCCTTCGCGATTTGCAATCCAGCGATACTAACACCTCCGGTTCCCTGAAGAAGAATGTACTCTCCCCGACCCCCATTCTGTCCCAACGGTCGCGTCCCATTGATCGCCATCCACGCCGTAACGCTCGCGATTGGCAGCGTGCATGCCTCCTCATCACTCATGTGCTTGGGTGCCTCGATCAAGGCATCCTCCGCGAACACACGATGCGTTGCTAGAACACCTTGCTGAGGGAGGCCCAAACTGGTAGCAAGCGCACTCTCAGTCAGTTGGCCTGTCCTGTGGTCCGGGACGAATAAGGAAAGAACGCGGTCTCCGATGTTCCATTTGGTAACATTTTCTCCGATGCTTTGAATGATGCCGCACATGTCCGAACAGGGTACAACGCTTGGCACTTGCTTGATTGCGCGGTGGTGGTTGTATTCTCCCTTGATCACTGGGTTGGGCATGTTAATTGTTGGGTGCATGAGATAGAGTCGAAAGTTGGGTGAGATGGTGCCTACCTTCTGTGTCGCGATAGTTTAGTGATATAGCACGGATCTGGACGAGGACCTGGCCTGGTCCGGGTGATGGCATTGGCACATCTGCTTTCTTGAGGCCGTCGATGCCGTCGAAGTGAGAGATGTAATGTTGCATAGTGGCGGGCACGGGCGAGTGTAGAGGTCAAACTTGACAGATAGAACGTCTGTAAAGAGTCTGATATTATACCGTACCTTTATATGCAATGAACGAGTTCTCTTAGGCCTTTATAGCTCCAGCTTGTGAGGTGATGAAAATAGATGTATGAGGGTCCTCGCGACCTGCATGATCCCATGATTCCTATTGGCTGTCACGGACAGGAGGACATCCACGACAGTCATTTAGATAAGTACCATGACGATATGGGGATGATTGATAATCAAGGAATTGATGGCCTGTGGAGACATCGAAACTATCTTCTTGCCATCTTGGATTCGAACTATAGACTAAAACGAGGCCAACTGGAGGACATGGAGATCTTCTACAGAGCACTTCAGTATTTACTAGTATGAGTGAAGCGGAGGACAATCCCTTCAACCAATAGGAACCACAGGAGCTGTCCATAAACGGTTAGCGCATACGTGACGACATGGAGACATCCCGTTACGAATTCAAGATCGAAACATACATAACCTGCTTGGTCCATTCGTTCGCTTCTTTCTTGAATAGCAGACAAGGCATAAGGGCAAGTAAGCAGGGTTCACTCCAGAAAACATCAATTGCACATCCCAGGACGCAATGACCCACAACATCCTCATCACCGGAGCCTCCGGCTACCTAGGAGGCACCCTCCTAGCACGGTGGAAGAAGGCCAACCTCCCACCATACGGCAAATTATACGCACTGGTCAGATCAAAGGTCCAAGGAAACCAAGTACGGAAACTATATGGTGCGGAGCCCATTGTCCTCAATGTCGACGATCATGAAACCGTCACCCAGACTATCATCGACAGAGAAATCACCATTGTCTACTACCTCATCGACGCCTACACTGCAAGGCACCAGCCCGCATTCATTAGAGGCTTAGGAGAGGTCAGGAAAAGAACAGGCAAAGACGTGCATTTTCTGCACACGACTGGCTCAAAGCAATTCAGCCGACATGCGGGTGTCTCCGTCGATCAGGCACTGTTAGATACTGATCCGAAGCTTCATGATATCCAGAAGGGTGCGCAGTCCAAGCATTACTTCGTGGCTGAAGTAAGTTGACTTAAATGCCTTTCCAATCCGAATTACTAAGGAAATATAGTCCGCCAACACCAACGCCACTATCATCGACACAGCCGAAGCACACGACGTGCGGAGCTATATATTCGCGCCGTGTCTTGTATACGGCCAGGGGGCAGGGTTCGGCAACAAGACTTCGATCCAAGATGTTGATATTGTTCGCTGTGCTGTAAAGCTGCGCCGGGTGTATAAAGTTGATACGGATGATCCAGTATGTATTTCCCTCGTACTAGTAACCACTCGAATGTGTATAATCTAACAGTGAAAATTCAGATCTGGCCCGTCTGCCACGTCTCGGATACAGCAGAGTTGTACCTACACATTCTTCGGAAGATACTTCTGGGAGAAGAAATCGGTGACGGCAAGCATGGCTTCTTCCTTGCTGCTTCGGGTAGTGTTCCCTGGAACAAAGTCTACTGTGCTATGGCCAAGGCGCTTGCGAAGCGTGGCTTGGTTGATGATGAGGATGTTGAGCAGGCTGATGATCAAGTGCTGGAAAAGATGGGTGAGGCGCTTGGTGTCGCGCCAGATGAGGTTCAAGTGCTTCTTGGAGGGAGGTGAGTTATTACCTTTTGAGTGGGGGCCTTTTTGGGTCGGTGCTAATTGTGGCGTTAGGTGTATGTTTACAGCCGAGCATGGAAGGAAGATTGGTTGGGAGCCAATGTATCCACCTCAACATATACTTGATGTGGCGGACGATGAAGTTGCGCTTATAATGGAGGGGCTGGAGGGGAGCAATAAGCGGCCGGATATCAGGTAGAGTTATTTACCAGTTGACATACTGAAGGTTGTCAACGATACCTGCAGCAGGTTGAAAGCATCATCGTCTCAAGGAATATTGGCATAGGCCAGCATAACAAAATCCCGAACCGATCTTTTATTCTATAATATATATGATTCTACCTGTGGTGTTCCTAGATAATGAGAACGATTTATCAAACACGCCCTTTTCGCTTATGTTATCGAACAAAACGAATAGGACACTACATACATTCCAACATTTCATCAAAGTATCAATATTTATCTGCGAATTCTAGTTGTCAGCTTGTACAGTAAGATGGCAGCACCGGGGACACTGTTCCAACCGGTTGTAGTAAATATGTATTCACCGTGTACATTTGAACATAAGATTTTGTGGATGAAAGACACATATATTCAAAATCGTCGATTTCCAATCAATAGCATTTCTAGAGAAGCAATCGCATTGACTTCGAAAGAATGACTTTCATCTCGTTGTCTCGGTAAGCTGCTTTTCTCCCCGACACCAACCATAATCGTCTTTTAGGCTTTGAGAATCGCGCCGAAAGTCCATCTGCATAGAGCGCGGACTAGAGCTTGAATCCACCAGGCATCAAATTTTGAAAAACAGCCCCGGGGTCATACTGTTCAGCGGTCCTCTTAAGAAATGCCATATTATCGCTCCCGTAGCTGGTGATCGGGTCCTGCCAAGCGGCGGCGTGGTTGAGATCCACGTAGTCATTGTAAGCACCCGCATGCTTCGCGGCAACCACAATGTTATCCGCGAGATGCTGTGCGGCATCATCCACGAAGGCGTAGTCAGCGGCGGAGTCGAAGGTCGCAGACAGAATGGCCAATATTAAACCCTCTGACGGCAGATCGTCTAGGCCGAGCACATTGCCGCCCTTGCGGGCGCTCTGGCCGGTGATGGCGGGGACAATGGGGGCCAGAGTGATGGTCCATTCGATGCCGGCGATGCCAGCCACAGCATTGCTGCTGGCGTTCCACAGCTCGAAGAGTGACTTCAGCATCGGGAGGCTGTTCTTAACTGTCACCGCAAAGGTGATTTGTTGATAGCCGTTTGGCGATGCGGAACCCTCGGCTATGGCTAAAGTAGCTAAGCTGGAGATCTGCGTGGTGTTGGAGAGCTGCGGGATGGCAGTGAACTCTTCAAAAGCGGTAGGGTAGGCTACCGGCGCCGCATAGGCATAGGTGTTGGTCAGTATTGGCCCCGTCGAGGGGGTGTAGGCTAGATTGATCATCAGGCCCGCCTGGCGGTCGTAGTTTCGGTTGGCGGTGAAGTTATACAAAGCCGACAGTTGCTGGTTTACTGTGCCAATGGCGAAGTAGGCATCGCCTCCCCAGACACCACCCAGTGGGAAGGTCTGGAAGTTGAAGTTGGTGACGATCCCAAAGTTGCTGGAGCCGCCCTTCAGGGCTAGCCAGAGGTCGTGGTTCTTTTGACTCGTAGCCTGAACAATCTCGCCGCTAGCGAGCACGACCTCGTATTGTAAGATGTTGTCGCATGCGAAGCCCGCCAGTGTTGCGAAGTAGCCGAATCCACCTTCGTGGAGCAATGGAAGAGGGAAGGGTCAATGATAAGAAAGAACAGCCCATCGCAAGGTTGACACTCACCTCCGAGAGTCAGGCCGCCAACGCCTACTGGGCTGTCGCGCCCGCCAGGTACCGAGACATTGAGTCCATCCAATGCAGTGTACACCCTGCCCCAGGTGTTGCCAGGCCCAATTGACACAGACAAGTGATCCGCTGAAGGAACAATATGATTCAGGGCTGAGAGGTCAATGGTGACACCACCCTGGATATTAGCGTGCCCTGCAATGGCAGCATGGCCACCACTTCGAACTGCAAACTTGCAGTCTTCCGAAGTAAGCAGTCCGAGTGCTGTAGACACATCCTGGGAAGAGGTCGCGGACAGCACGCAAGCGGGTGAAATTGACTGCTCCTGCTGAGACCAGTATGATTGAATAGACTTGTTGTAGGAAGTACTACTGGGATACGAAATTTTGGAGCCCAATGAGGAGACCAGGCTTGCACACTGAACCTGCAATCAGTCCTTTTGTCTAGAAGCACATGGAAAGAGGGGCTTTTACGCAGCTAGATGGTGCGCGACCGGTTGAAGGTATAGCCAGAAATGCCGCAGCTACAAACAGGGAGAGGAACATGTCGCTGGTACTAAAGACAAGGGTGATGGTCGAATGGGAAAGAGGGGGGTATGTGTGGGAGGGAGGAAAAGAAAAGAACCAGAGCGGAAGGGAAAGCGATCTGCAATCATCTTTAAGCAAACACCAATCCTTGCCCAGAGTTGAAAGGGGGGTAGATACCGCTAAATCTCTAGGTTTACGACCCCTGTACAGCAGTAAGCACAGCACTAATTTAGCAGCAACTAAACCATGAGCCTACCCGTTAAAACGCACTGCGCCCTCCTGCATCCATCGTCCCATCCTTCCCGTCTTCCCATCCTTCCCAACATTCCATCATTCGTTCTCAGCCGATTCCTCCTCGTATCTTCGCCTCACGATGGAACAGCCTCCCCTCAATGGTAGTCATGCTCCTTCTACAGCCGGCAATTCCCCTCTAGAAGCCTGCGTGCGTGTAACCCTGAAATTCGTGCAAAGACAAAACTCTAACTCTACTATGTCCGCAGTGCCTCAATTTGGCCTCGACTTTAGGGCCTGATAAAATCTCGTTCCCAAACACAGCTGGATATGAAGCGTCCCAAAAGTCATATTTCGCCCAGCAGAACAGTGATCTGCAGCCATCCTGCGTGGTGTCCCCGCACTCAGCAGAGGATGTGTCTAAGATCATCACTAGCCTGGTCTCTACCGCATCGGCTCTGCCTGCACACGAGCAAGCTAGATGCCAATTTGCCATTCGGTCTGGCGGGCACAACTCCTTCGCGGGAGTGTCGAACATCCAGCACGGCATCACCATCGACCTGCGAGCTTTGAACACCATCAAGGTCCATGCTCCGTCCGGGGACAACGATGATAAACAGACCGTCTTCGTCGGTGCAGGCGCCACATGGGGAGACGTCTATGCCCACCTCGACCCGCTGGGTCTCTCGGTAGCCGGCGGCCGCGCCGCACAGGTCGGGGTGGGTGGACTCACGCTCGGCGGCGGCATGTCGTATTTCTCGCCCCGTTACGGATGGACATGCGATAACATGGTCGGCGTAGAGATAGTCCTGGCAGATGGGACAATTGCGCAATGGGATGAAAAAACGCAACACCCCAAGTGGCTGGCAGCGCTGCGCGGGGGCGGTAACAGTAACTTCGGAATCGTGACGGGCTTTTATCTGCGGGTCTTCCCGCAGGGCCCCATTTATGGCGGATCTGTCTATTGCAGTACAGACACCATCGATGCTCAACTACACGCATTTGCGGAGCTGGCTGATCCCAAGGCAGCGAGCCACTATGATGAGAATGCCTCGTTAATCACTAGTTTTGGATTTGCCGGAGGTAAGGGAGCCGCGGTGGTGAACAGCATTGTGTATACCGGGGAGATGGAGAAGCCCGAGAAGAATGGAGAAGATAGCCAGCAGCCACCGTCCCCACCAGCCGTGTACAGGGCCTTCTTTGATATCCCTCAGTTATACAGCACTGTGCGTGTAGCCCCGGTGCACGAGATATCCCTGGAGCAAGGTTCCTTTTCCCAAAATGGAAAACGGTAAGAATTTGTCTATTTCGAATTCTCTACATCCCTCCTTTCTCCTAGCTCTGTCGTGCTCTTCTCCATTCAATCCGCTAATACCAATTGACTACAAACCAAACAGACAACTAAGCGTAGTGACGACCCACGACGCAACAGTGCCCATGTTGAAAGCGACCTATGACCGGTGGAACACCAGTCTGGCAGCTGTGCAGGACGTTCCGGGCATCGTGTGGTCGATATCCCTGGAGCCATTACCCGCCGCCATTTATGGACGGGCGCCTGCAGGTCACAACGTGATGGGACTGTCGTCTGACACCGAGAAAGCGCTCGTGGTGACTTTGCTGAGCGCTACTTGGGATAATGCGACCGATGACGCCCGCGTGGAGGAAGCCGCCAAGACACTGTTTGCAGGTATTGATGCGGATGCACATCAGTTGGACGCATATCATCCATTTGTCTATCTGAACTACGCGGCGCAATGGCAAGATCCGATTGCTAGTTATGGACCCGAGAGCGTTTCGCGGTTGCAGCACATCAGCCGGGAAGTCGATCCCACCGGGGTGTTTCAGAGGATGGTGCCGGGAGGATTTAAGATTCCGCAGTGATGTGGTTTGTATGTATGTGACGGAAGGAGATTCTTGACTACAGGATGGTTCTTGCTTTCCACTATTGATTGTCCTTACACAATCTCCCTTACACAATCTCACACTTGCTACAATACTGTCATTCAGCTCTTGTTCGTAGCCTTCGCCAACTCATCTAACCCCTGTCCATTACTCATCATGCGATCCTAAGTAGGGCTATAGTTAGCAACCAATCAAACGACCATCACGGTGGGGGACTTCGGAACACCCCGGAAGAGCAAACAAAGAAACGGTTAGAAATCAAGAAACTCACCAACAGACCCCCCGGGCACCACCTCGCCATGAACTTGACAGCGGCACTATTAGGACCTTTCCACACCAACCCCCCATTGGCACTACTACTTCCCAGCACATCGCCAGCAATAGAATTAGCGAAGTCATCCGCCGAACAGCCTTGGGGGCCAGCGCGTCCAGTCGCCCAATCAGAGATGGTTTGTCGAATAGCTGCATAACGAGAAGTCGGCAGCAAGACAACTTCTGGCTCATTTGCATGGAAATCGGTGGTGATAGTACCCGCCATGATACAGAGCACGCTAACACCCAAGGGCGAGAGTTCGAGACGAAGCGTCTCGGAGAGCTGGGTGACTGCGGCTTTGGAGGAGGAATAGATCCCTGTTTGCACTATTAGTAACTTCGCTTATGCAAATCTCCTCCAAAAGGGAAATAGAACGAACCAATCCAAGGCGTATTAACCACCGCCCCCACACTGCTCATATTAACAATCCTCCCTTTGGCCGCAACGAGCAGATCACTGCACGCCTGAATCAGCCCAAGCAAGCCCCACACATTAGCCTCGTACACTGCCTTCGCGCGATCTAGGTCCGCCTCCAATAGAGGCATGGTGTACCCCGTCCCGGCATTGTTGACCAGGATATCCAGCCCCCGACCATGTTCTCTCACCGAGCGCACGGCGCCAGCGATGGAGGCAGAGTCTGTCACATCCAGGGGCAGGACCTGAACGTTCTCCAAGGCGCTCAGTCGCTCTGGGATTTTGCTGGTATTGCGGGCTGTGGCGAAGATGAAATGGCCCTGGCGGGCGAGAGTGAGGGCTAAGGCTGCGCCGATGCCATGGGCGGAACAGCCGGTGATGAGGATGGTTTTGGGGTTGGGCATTTTGTTTCAGTGTTCTGAAGGTGGGGAGGAATGCGGTTGGGGCCAAAGGATACAGGAGGAAGTGACGATGTTCGGTGCCCGGCGTGGTAGTTGGAAGAGAGGGTTGTGTATTTATGCAGACAAGGCGCTACTTCCAGTCAACCAACCGGAAACTACCAGGGACGGAGTGAAGATGACAGGACAAACAGATAACAGAAAAAGAAATGCGAGACGGGCGAGACTTCAATTTGCCTTGTTCAGGTTCCCCAGCCTTGCAGGTATCTACGGGGCATTAATTTTAGGATGTACGAAATGAGCACTGGCGCCAGTGACGGCAGGATCAAATTCCCGGGCCCAACCGTGTTGTGGGCCCGTCAATGCGTCAGGTCCAACCAAAGCTTAGGGAACCTTGTCCAGACTACAGTGTACTAGTCTAGTGCACACAGAGCTACTGTGTTATGAACCTACTTGTCACATCTCATGTCAGACGATCGTCGGCACTAATTTCTGACACAAAAAAGAAGGCAGAAGAGATGAAGGGGGCGGCACGGGGTATCACCAGCTTACGGTCCGTTCTCCTATGAGCTTCGGGTAATTGATTGTCTTACGGGGTTTCTCTTCTAAATCTTCTAAACATATTGCTGCTGTGTATGGAGAACAGTACGTCAAAACAGTATTGTTGAAAATCCTATCGCACCAGTACACTACGGATAGAGCCATACCACGATGTAACAACCTCAGTATTATAATCGCCTAATTTCTCGCAATATCATATACACAACCACCAAGGCTACATATCAAGCATTTATTACGCTCACCCAACAGTACAGTGATCCTTATCAGCCTCGGTTTCATCGACCAGCCAGGCACGGACTACACATCGGTCCGGTCCACCCGGTACCCCGTCGCTTACACTATCGACTGGGTTTCTTGCTGAATATTCACCTCTCGGGATATGCCCCTTTCATGATTGCTGGTGCTGTGGCTTCCCGCACGGATCTGCACAGCCACCGTAGACTTGCTCACATCCTCTAACTCATGGTTTTGGTTGTCCGTAACTCCATCTAGCAGGTTCCTGCTGGACCATTTCTGCCCCTTGGACGGCGTGCTCGTGCTCGACCTCTTGAGGTCTGACCCCTTCGCGTATGCCGATCGGTCCGAGCTATGCCGCAAGGCAGAGAGCTTAGACCGCAGGCTCCTGAATATGACTGCATCTAGGACCTTGGCCCGGAGGAATGCGGGGAAGAAGGGCATTGAGCTGACGATGATGGCGACGTTATTCTCGACGATACTGTACGAGATATTGGAATCAGCATGAGGATAGGGGCGGGTCAACAGGGGACGGCACTTACACGCAAATGAATAGCGCGCTCTGCACATACGATGTGTCTGCGGTGGTCTTCAAACGCACCCGGAAGACGAGCGCGCAGACACTAGCAACGATACCCCTATGGTCGGTGTAAGTCTAATGAATCTCTTTTGTTCCAGTTTCCGCGAGGGAGAATATTTTCTCGCAGAGAATCATAGAAGAAAAATACACTCACATCATAGCCGTGGAAAACACCGCGAGTAGTTGTAACCTTCGCCGATGTGCCATTTGCAGCTGTGCGAGCATCGGAAGCGGGAGAAGAAAGATGTAAATGTCCAATACCACGGAGCAGGTTCCCTGGACAATCCCCCAGTAGATCAAGTGTTCGGGTCGGCCGTTGGTGAGTAGATCTTCCCAGGTCTCCCCGACGTGCGGTGCACTAAAGTAGGATTCCAGGGGAACTCCGGCCCAATACAAAAGGAAAGTGAAGATAAGACCGACCCAAATGGCAATCTTCATGGGCTTCTGGATGGTGAAGATTTGGCGATAAAGAAGGAAGATGGAGCATTTCGCGAAGAAGATTGTGGGCCCGAGGAGCACACCTTGGGCGTACAAGATCTGTTCATTTTTAGTTTTCTGAAGTGAGCTTTCAATACATAGAACTTGCTCATAGCTGCAGCTTAGGAATAATGAGATCGTACCTTCATATACGTGCCATTAAACCAACAGGCGGGTATGTCCCACTGGTGTTTAGCATATTTCAGCACTGCGTCGAGGAGTCAGAGTCGTGAAATCGAAGCACGTCACAATCCTGTCTTAGAGCCCACTCACTCGCTAAAACTAAGCCTAAGTAAGTTGCCGACAATGCCAAGGCAATGACCACAAAGCCTGATGTACTGCTGTTAACAACGTGTATGACAAGACCAGCCAATGGCGCCCACGTACAGTCAGCCAAACCCAGCTTGCTTAATTTTGTATGCACTCTAGCTGCGGTAACAGTGACTGCCCAGACCAAAGTCACCGTTGTCACCGCGATGGTGGTTGCTGCCAAAGAGGGTGGATCCACCAGGTTCGACGACTGGCCAGACGGGGGCGTCCCCGCTGGGTAGGCACAAAGATCAATTCCCGTATAGCTGGAAGCCATGATGCCGGACAGAGGAGTTTTCCAACCTAGCTCAGCTTATTTCTGAGTGCAGTGTTGGCGGACGAGGGTGGAATGTGAAGTGACGGGTTATAACGGAATATTGAGTTTCTTGCCTGTCAGATATCCCGAGTGGAGGCTTCATAGCCTCCAAGTTGTGCAGGGTAGCAAGGCTAATTTCCTAGCTCCGTAGACAGAATAGTATAGTCTCTACTCAAGTGACAGATGAGAGCCTTGCGTGACAAGGCTAGGCAGATCAGGTCTCCCGTGAGGGGGCTGTATCTATCAGTATTGAGACATTACTTTGGATAGTTAAGTCGGGGACAATGAATCATTCAGGTGAGATCCCATATTAACTAAGACTGGAAAGTACAGGGTATGGTAAAACATGCGAGTAATAGTGAAAAACAATGTACGTAGCATAAAACAATTGGTTAGAGCCCGAATTTGTGCATAGATCGACGCACTAGGGTCTGTATTTAGTCACCCCCTCCGGATACCAAGGTGGGCGACTCCATCTGCCGGCGTTTAAACACCACCACCGTCCCAGTGCGAGGGACAACACTGGACCGCCACGTACGCCACCGAAGAGCCTGAGGGTCCGCCAGTCTGCACTCCCATCCTTGGAGGATGCACCCCATCATCAACTTCAACACTGTCGTCGCGTAAAACCTGCCTGGGCTGGTAAAGATTTGATGTGTGTCAGATTATAGTCTCGGTGTGTGCATGCCAAAAGCAATCAAGGAAAAGAGGGGTAGTACCCACCAGGCTGTGTTTCCCAGACCCCATATAGGCCAATTCACATCAACATCTGTCAGCTGCAACGGTGCTACTTCTGGCACATCAGCACAGCCCTCATTTAGAGCTAAGAGCTTGTTGGCTCTCGCGAATCGGAAGCCATCAAATTGCTCTGCGTGCGAATAGCGAGCCGGATCGCGCATCATTGCTCGTTGTGGAATACAGACCCAGTCTCCCCGGTCTACTCGTAACCCATCAGAGAACGTGAACGGTGTTAATGCTTTGCGTCGTGCGGTGACTATCAAGTGAACTGTTAGCATGGGATGCTACCAGATCTTGTGTCTGCAGCGCTGTAGTGACACCGCAGCTCGAAGCCTCTACTTACTAGCGTCTGAGTTAGTACAGCGAATGGTCTCGCGCAAAAAGCTATCCAGAAGTGGCATAGCGGCCAGATCAGGGCACAAGCCTTCAGGAGCGACACCGTAGACTTCCTCCCGAAGCGGGCGCACGTACTCCTCATGCGAGCATAAATCCTCGATCGCGTATGTCGCGGTCTAGGGCTGGGTTAGTCGGCAAATCCTTTCGTGCAGTCCCGCTTCTCTGAGAATCGAAAAGGTCAAAGCAAAAGGATATGCATTATGTCAAACATACCATGGCCAATTGATGCACAGACCCAAACCAGACTGCAATAATCTCACCCACCATGCGCGCGGTCGTCCACTGGGTTTTCCGGGGTGAGGTCTCGATAAGCCATTGCATGCAGTCCACCTGCGCCACCCAACTTCATCAGTGTCTCGCTTTCAATATATTCCCCTCGTCGAATTCAAGTGTCTTACTGGGACATTCTCCGTGGAATCCACAGCCCTCATGGCTAGTCGCTGTTTAACCACCGGCTCGAGATACCGCATGAGGGTCTTGACGGCACGATGCCTTTCAGTCACCAAACTGGCGACAGAGCTACTGCATGTCAGCGAGAAACGGCGTTTGGGGGCCAAATGCGCCATTCGTACTGCCGTAAGAAGGAAGGTGTGATACGCAATATCTCCGAAGCGAAAATGACAGTCTGAGGGAATTCCAGGGCGGCTGCGGTGAATTCGGGATTTTGAGCTGTAGATCGCATCAGTATTGACATGACAGCCTTATCTATTACCATAATGGGAACTTACCGAGCTGCTCCCCGAAGAAGACAAAACAGTTGACCTTGGTGACAGCTCGCTTGATCAGCGGGAACAGTCGGCAATGCACAGAGCCTGGTTTTATCGTTAGCTCCGGCGTCCGCAGCAACTTCTAGATTATAGATGTAACCATGCCATCTGTTTCTGGTGTGCTCAATTCTTCTGTAATGGCAGCCTCGACCATTCGCTTGAGGTCGGGTAGCATGCCGGGCAAGTGAGCAGTTAGCCTGCTCCTCAAGGCTCGCACGAAGCCCGTCCCCTCGATCCCACGCTGGTCTTGCCACTCAAAGCCAGACATCGTGTATTTCGGTTGTAAGATCTGCGATTGTCAAAGGGGCTCTTAGTTAATTACAGCAATCTTCGAAGTATGACGGGAAAGTAGCAAGTCGTACCTCTTTAGCCACAGCATGAAGGGATAGACTCTGGAGAGGCGCATTTATCAATTCTTTGATGTGATAGCTCGAAGTCACCATCAAGTGGTTATTGTTGGGGGTAGGCATTTTGAAGGGCATCCCACCGGCCTGATCTGTTAAGCGTAGTGTACGACTGAGCATACGAGGGCCAACCTACCGAAACATATGCTTCGTCTATCAACTCGGGTCCGCGGATCAAATACAACCAACCACGAAGGCGCCTGACGCAGAGTAGCAGAAGTGAGAGTAAGGATGAAAGCATCATATACGCGTACATATTTGTTTTGTGAATTTGAGGTGAGGAAGGTTGTTGCTGTTGGTGTCCTCAACACCTCCCATGGCCGCCATTACTATATGTATCGGCCCGGCCCATACAGCCGTGCCAGGCTGTGCTAGTGTCGACCTAGTCAATCAATCCCATGAAAGTCCATGTATGAAACATGACCAGGTCACCACACCCAATGAGATTATTCAAGTGAAGTGACCAGTGTTAGGTGGGGTTTACTTCCAGTTATCCATCACATTCCATTAGGGCCCGATCCAATAAAACTGCGGATATATAAGTCGAACGTCAGCCTGCTCTGTTCCTCAGAAACAAAACACACGGTGCAACCTCAATTTAGTTTCCTCAGCTCATTATGCTATCCGAGTTCTTGATTGAGGTTGGAGACCTCTATGCCAAAGGATGGCATTGGACCCACAAGGCCCATCCGTCTTTGGTGGCAGCCATCGTTGCCGCCAGCGTGCTGGTACTCTGGAGGTTACTGCGATTCTCCATCGTGCCCTCATTTTACCCCAACGACCCCAAAGAACTACCTTATTGGATTCCATGTGAGTTACCTGTCTGCTGTTAATATTTTCGAACAACTGCTAATGCTGTCTAGTTCTGGGTGGGCTTCTTGGTTTCGCTGCATGTCATTATCCTAAATTCTAACGTTGAAACTCAGGCCACGGCGGCGCCTTCTTCAGTAACTCCAATGCGCTGCTCTCCCGCGCACAGTATGATCCCCATAATCCTGCTCAACACACAATTAAAGGCCCAACGCTCACTGCACGCTAGGAAATACTACAAGTACAACAACAACCCCTTCGCTCTCACTATTGCCCATTCCGTTCTTTATGTCATCACCAGGCCTCAGGACGTTGCGGACGCATACCGCAATACTGAGACGCTTTCCTTCAACGAGTTTGTGCAAGCGATGATGCGCGCCTGTGGAAACACCGAGTCCTGCGTGCAGGCAATGTACAAGCCCCTACCCAAGCAGAAAGCCGGATTCCCGAATCCCCACGGGAAACCACTAGCGACGCTAGCACGACAGATGCACATCCATCAGCTCTATCCTGGCGACAATCTAGACTTCCTGGAGAAACAATTTCTAGACTGGGTGGAACCCAAACTGAACATCGCAGGACTCCGGAGAGAATGCCCATACCAAGTCCGGACGAGCAATGGCCACAGTAAGGACACCAACGCCATCGTGCTTCCTCTAATGGAATGGTGCTCGGACTTCTTCACCCGCGCCGGCCAGGAGGCTTACTTCGGCCCTAAGTTGGCAAAGGTTGATCCTTCCCTTCCAAAGACCTTCATTGTCTTCGACGAGATGAGCTGGCAGGTGCTGTACCAGTACCCCGACTTTCTGGCGGGGGAGATGAAAGCCGCACGAGATGCGATTCAGCGCGCCTTGAAAAAATACATCCAAATGCCGCAGGAGGATCGGCACGGGGACGCCTGGTTTACTAAAGCGATGGAGAACGAGATGAGGGCACTGGGAATCAGTGAAGATGATATTGCAACTATGTTGGTGACGATTTATTGGGGGTGAGTTCAGATTCATTCTTCCTTTATCTTCCTTTTATTTTGCCCTCAGAGAAAGCGACGTGGATGGAGAAACGAGGAATGGTTGAGCTAACCCGGTTATCAATCTCAGAATCAATACAAACACCCGCAAAGCCGCCTGCTGGCTCCTAACCTATATCCTCTACTACGGCCCAGATCATTACGTTGACGCCATCCGCGCAGAAACTGCGCCAGCCTTCCGCTCCGGCAACCCCATCCCCGACCTGACCTACCTTCATGACAACTGCCCACTACTAGACGCCATGTGGAATGAAACCATCCGCATGTCAGCGTATTCAGCTTCGGTGCGGATGATCACATCCGACACCGTCATCGGCGGCAAGGTCCTGCGCAAGGGAAACCGATTGATGATCCCGTACCGGCAGTTGCACTTCGATGAAGCCATTTTCGGGGTTGATTTTCCGGTCAACGAGTTCCGCCCGGAGCGATTCAGCGTTAAGAGCGGTCGCAATTTGACACGCAGCGATAATTGGCGACCCTTTGGCGGCGGGACTACCATGTGTCCCGGGCGGTATGTGGCGAAACGGTTTGTTATGTTGTTTGTTACGTTGTTGTTGCGCCGGTTTGATGTCGAATTGGTGGATAAGCGTGTCCCTGAGGCGGAGGATGGGAAGCCGGTGTTGGGGATCATGTCGATTAAAGAGGGTGACGATGTTTGTGTGCGGGTTAGGGAGAGGGTTATTGTAGATTAAACGGTGATGAGCTTGAGTTAGGGAATGCATAGAAGTGGGTAATATATTGTGGAATGGAAGTACTAGGAGTTTGGTTTTCGCAGGTTGTATAGGGAGTAAGCTAAGACCTTTTTTCAGTCTTTTCATTTACCCATTCATGCTGTTTTTCACCACTCATGATCTTGACATCGAGCACGGAAAAATTCGATTCTACGGCTGCCTTGGCTCATCTAGTCGTATGCATCGCACCTTACTCAGATAATAAGAGTAATATCCAAGTGGCACATCTTCCTCATGATCATTTTCCTCATAGCCTCTTACTCAATCATCTACTGCGGTGATCAGGCAATATTCAACAATAAAGAGTAGCATAAATCTGCATATATTGACTTGGAGTATTGGTTTTAGGGGTATAAGGCTTAGTTGGGTTGAGGCTATAGAGACAGAAACGTAACTGACCTGACATCCCCATGTCCCATTCAGGTACTTGGTATGGAAGAAGCCCAGATATCCGATAATAATTGTGGTGAAAAACCGAGGTTTAGTCTGCTCGGACGAGGCTCTGCGAGTACTACGATGATCTCTCGTACTTTTCGGCATATCTATCTTCATCATGGCCTAACAAACAAACCACCATCGTCTATTACGTCATCTATGGTTACTCCGCAAAGCATCATCACCACTCATCAAAGCCTCAGACGAGGTTAACAGAAAGACATACCACGACGTGCACTTCCCAGCTGAGTATGGGAGCGAGATTAAGTAGGAGGCCAAACATCTATCTCATCATATACTTGACGTGGCGAGGGATGAAGTTGCATTTTTCAGGAAGGTACTGGAGGGTAGTAATAGACTTAGATCAATCCTATAAAGAATTTGTCATCGTGGGTATATGAGAAAAATCTGTGAAGGCTTCGTTGACTCCATCGCAATAGCTGGGCCAGATATCGGGATCAACGAGATCTGCCCAGGGCCAAAACAAATCATCACTTGTCTCGTCTTGCGGAAGAGATAAAATGGACCGATCAATGGTCATACTTCCAGCATCCGTGTTCATGTTCACGAATTCAGACTGTTGATTTGCCTGTTGTGTCAAACCATCTTTTGTCGGCGGAGGTACATCCTTTGTGCTCTCGGAGACACCACGCCGGAGATCAATATTTAACATCATAGTCAACTTGTCCACCTTCTCACATAGATGACGTGTGAGACATGCTGCACGAGCTGCGGCATCATTTTGAGAACCCGCAAACTCAAATGTCTTCAGGGCTAGGTCGATGTAGCCGCGTGCCTGTGGGCAGCGCGGACAGAAAGGGAAAGCCAACATGAAACCCATCAGCGTCAGCACGGCATTCCACTGATATTGATAAAGTTCACATGATCCATAGAATATATCATGCGCGGTCATACAAGAATACACTGTTTGGATCGTTGCCAAGGCGTGTTTCAAAGCAGTTGCAGCATGTGCACCGGCAAGGGGATGTTCTCGGTTCATGGCGGGCTGACGAGGGAATTGGATAAAAACTCTATGCAGACTAATCATGGCATCGTGGTATTGGAGTTCAAGCAGGGCCTCCGTTTGAATTTGGAGTGGCGCTTTAATCATATAGTCATTGTACTCCTCGCCACCTCCATTCTCTCCTGGACCACAGAAATACTTTCGTGAGACGGGCACATCTTGGACATCCAGTTGAAGGTGCTTGAACCATGTGTTTTGGCGTAATTCGTCTTTCCATACACGTAAATATTGCAAATTATCTGTCAAAACGTTTGCCTGAAATTCGATGTCATGTTTCTTTCTTGTCTTTTCGTGGTGTGCCATTGACTCAATGACAGCCAGGGCCGCACACGTGAGACGAATCGATTCATTATGATATGGGAACCGTACCGGACGAGGCGGATCGTTCGACATCCAACATGGTGGCGGAGATCTAGATATAGGAAGCTGTACACTAATAGGCTTTCCAAGGTGCCTTGAGCAGCGGAAGTCGAGATGGACTAAGGTCCACCAGATACGAGAATGTAGCTCCGCCTGCTCCCGGGATGCTTGAGGAGGCGGGTCACAGTCAAGGTCTAATGATCGAGCAATCCGAACAGCAAGCCCGATCATGTTATACGCCGCCTGGTGTTGTCCGGCGTCCAGTAAGTACAAGGTCATGATACAGTAGCACTGAAGGATTGGAAGGGAGGGCTTCGCAAACGTTGAATATTGCATCGCGCCTGTTAGACAACGTTGGAAATAAGGCATGCCAATCTTCTTTGAGCACCGATTGCTCCTATTGAATTGCTTCCATTGCAATCCAAGAAGCCGAGCATTGAGGCCAGAGTAGAATATATACTGCATGGTGTAGGCTGTTACAGCATCCCGCAGAGGTTGTGGATGGGAGCCAGTCGCAGTATCCTCGTGGGAAGTAGGGTGCTCTAGATCCTCTCGGCGAACAATTGGAACTTGTGGGAGTAACCGTGCCCAGAATATCTCTAGAACGCGATTAACTTGAGCGGAGGATAAATCACATTCAATCGCAGCTGTGCCATCTGTATCATGGGCAGTAAAAGGTGATGAATAAGCAGGAGGGGAGCCCGCAGGGGACCACCGAGAGGACAGTTGGGATACACCAGCGCAGAAGGTGTTTATGCGATCGATGAAGCCAAGTGTTGAGTCCAAGCGATAGTTGATCGGAGCCGTCTCTGTGTCGTCGGGATAAGGTGTCATGCCCCTGCTGGGTGTCTGTCTCCCCTTGGTGACACTGGCTCTCGGGGTGACGTGAAGTGAGGATGGGGACGCATCCATAGCAGCATCTGCCCGACCAGATGGGCTGTCAGAGCGCCTTAGACGGCTACAGTGCACCTTGTTTATCACGCATTGATGGCAGGGGGCAACTGCGTCGCACCGCACTCGATGCTCTCGACAGAAGCGGCATGCCCGGCGCACTTTGCGGCGCCTAGGCACTGACCCTGGGGTCGGAAAGGTATGTATCATCTTCCCAATTACTGCAGCTCAAGTACCATGAAGGATGACCTTTTCTAAGCATTGCTGAATTGGCGCTACAAGTGGTAAGTGGATGTTCTTTGCAGGCATCGGCGAAAGTCTGGATATGAGGATTAGTCACCAAGATTCCCCAACGTGACTTGTCAGGTGATCACCGCAGCGACGATGAGCTGCCCTAGAAGCAAGATCAAGCCTTTGTCATATACGAGAGTTCCTGTAATCTGCCAGGACTCGAGTATTGAGTAACCTTACCCTTCTGTTGCATAAGTCGTAATCCCACTCAGCTAAGGTCCAAGTGCCGCCAAAAGCTTTGTTGATGAACTGGCTGGAACGCCAAGAATATGCGATGTCCTTGCTGATGCACCCAACCCCTCAACCAGTTCCATAACAACCAAAGCCATGTGGGGGTGCGACATTAAAGACTGCAACAGGCCGGCTGTACGATTAGACGGTGACTGTGTTATTTGCGACCGTCATTTCTGTGCTGAACATATTGAACACGGATGTCCCAAGTGGCAGGTGAGGAGAAGAAATATATCATGCTCTCAAGTCCTGACATATCTAACAATCCACATCAAGGACGGGGAACTCTACGATCTAGCTGCTCAGGAAGCTGAGAGGGGCGAGATAACCAGGTTACTAGAATCCTTGAACTTCTCTGCACTTCTCGAGAAAGCAAGCTATTTACGAAATGGTATTGCCTGCTCTTTCCCCCGGCCCCCTGTGTATGACAGATCGTTACGTTCGTCGGTGATGGGTGGCATGAACTACCACATAGAGATTTTGTTTGCTGATGGAGTTCGGTGGTTGGCTCGTATTCGAAGATCTAACGCTACTTCACCACCGCCCGACCTACGTGACTATATCATGCGCAGCGAAGTTGCGACTCTCCAGTTCCTTGGCCAAACCAAAATTCCTGTTCCGAAGGTGTTCGACTACGCGCTGGAAGGGCAAACTCCCGTCAGCGTTGGATATATACTCATGGAAAACCTCCCGGGGAAACCATTACGCTGGTCTCTCGCGTCTCAGGAGCAAAGGAAGAAAGTCATGACCCAGCTAGCGGATGTATACATTGAGTTGGAACGTTTTGCGTTCAACAGTATGGGATCTATGGATGAACCAGGAGTGTCCACATTGCCTCGTTTGCCAGGGAACCATTGACTGAATATGTCAACTCGCAAATGGTTCCCCTCGGGCCATACAAGGACCCGAGAGAGTACCTCCAATCTAGCATTGAGCTCATAATGAGATTGATCCTGAGAGGGGAACGCTATTCAGGACACGAGATAGATGCATTCTTAGTTCACCGGTTTCTTCTTGATTGCATCCCAAAAATCATAGTACACCACACTTTTGACGACGGACGATTCTATCTACGGCACGCTGATGACAAGGGTGATCATATTCTCGTTGATGGCGATTACAATATCACGGGAATCGTTGATTGGGAATGGGCTCATACAGACTCAAAGACTGAAGCATTTAAATCGCCCGTCATGCTTCTCCCAGTTTCTGACTTTTACGACGGAGTTAATACACTTGGCGAGGATGAATCCACTTTTGCAGATATACTTGAGGCAAAGAGAAACAAGGGACTTGCAGAGATAGTCAGGAACGGGAGACTGCTCCATAGGTTCCAGTTCTGTTGTGGGTATGACTTTGCAGATTGGGAGGGCTTTCTGGGTCTTTTTCAAGGCCTTCGAAATGCCTTGAAGATAGATGCAGATATGGGTTGGGAGGATTGGAAGACAAACGCTTTGGAACGATATTCAGGTGATGTACATCTAAATACTCTACTGGGGCAGACGGGATAGTTCTTTCATCCTCGTTATCAAGTGCTATTTCTTTATGATAATGAGAAACGTGCAAAAGAGAGCCTGATCCGAACACCTAGAGCCAATAACCCTCGCTCACATGGTATACCGAAAATAAACATTGTTCATATCCGTAACATCCCGCGCCCCCAACTCTCTACCCCGCCGTTCTTGCTCCTCTTTAGAGATGCCCATGCCCTGTACAATGCGCTCCCTGCGTCGATTCTCCCACATATACCAGCCTCTCCAGACTAGAATAACAATCACTTCGAGAGCAAAACACACCGAGCACGCGATTGTTCCCGAGACATATCGGGGCGCATCTTTGGTCTTGAACACCTGCGCACCAGCCATGTTTCCGGCGCAATAGGCAATCAACGTCATGGCGGAAACGACGGATCGTTTCGTTTTACCTGCAACATTGGAGGGGACTGGCCGGATGTGACTAATTAGTAACAGATCATTCTGAATGGCAATAGGCGATTAGATGAGCATACTGAGACTCCAACCCAGGAAGATAGCCATAGAAAAGACAACTGTCATCATGAACATTCCCCATTTAACCCACTTGTATTGGGGCGTGTTAGGGAGAAGGGACATGACTAGGAGGCCGATGAAAGGAAGAATGCAGCAGGCAACCATGACCCACATGCGCTGGTTTTTGACTTTGCGAGTGTATAATCCAACGATGAGGAAGCTGACTACGTAGGCAGCTGGCGAGATATATATAATTAGAATAAGTTCTAACTGGGGTGAAATGGATTATACCATATCTGGGACAGCCGTAAAGCATGGATTCCCAGTCACTAAAGCCAAAGGTCTCGTACATGAGAGAGCTGAAGGTTGTAATGCCTCTGTGTTCAACCAAGAATTAACTGACAGACCGCGCCATGGGGGAGCTGCGTGTTGACTTGCCCGTTGGGAATATTGCCAAGGAAAGAATTGGCGAAGGAAAAATAAAGTTGGGGATCTTTGAAGGCTTCGATAACTTGTGGCCAGGACCATTCTTTACCCGTCGTATCCTGACCAACTTGGTTGTCCAACGTGCGGGCGGACCTGTCATGTGAGTATTCCAGTGGCGATGGAGATGGAGCGACAACCTACGCCATGCGTTTCTCATCCTCACTCAGCCAGCGCACCTCGTGTGGGCAACCGAGCAAGAAGAAGGCGGCTACTGCACCGGCCAGGGTAAGCGAACCTAAGAAAAGTGAAATGCATCTCCAGGCTGCTATACCGCCGTGGGCTTCAACGTGTCTAGCAATGGCGTATAAAATAAGGTTACAGACAATACAGAAGAAGCCCTCTGATGACTGCCAGAAGAGGGAGCGGTTGGCATGTTCCTCGGTACGGTACCAGACGCCTGTAATGTGGAGGAAGCCAGGAGATATATTGCTTTCGAAGAAGCCTTGGAGGGCACGGAGGGCCATAAATTGCGACCAATTTTGGCCTGCGCTGATACAGATGAGGCATATTCCTGGACATTATTATTACGTTGGCCAAGTGCAGTCATGGATGGCCTTCATCACTCACCCCAGCATGTAATATAGATGGATAGGACCAAGCCAACATTGAATCTCTGTAGGAGATAGACAGAGGGGAACTCTCCGATCAGGTACGTAAGATAGAAGCTGCAGTCACGTTTAGTATGTTCTGTATGTTAGGAATCGTTCCTTACATCGTGGTTAGCCATTGATATTGTTGGCCGTGTAGATTCAAGTCATCCTCCATTCCGAATATCTGGACTTGTCAGCAAGCGCATTCATTTATCAAATTAATAAACTTACTGCTTGAATACTAGTTGATGTCTTGTCTACCTGCTGTATTCCGTAGAAGAAGAACCTGAACCGTTAGACAAGCCTTTCTCAGATGTGGCTAAGCACATACATCATTGGCATGAGATAGTAGTCGATCTTCCGGGTCAATTTCTTATATTGTTGCTCAGTATAGTCTGTATAAGGTCAACAACGTTCAGCTGTAGCGAAAGAAGTAGCGTACCAGATACTAGAATGTCCCCAACCTCCACATTGGTAGCCTTGATGACGGGGACGTCATTCTTGTCAGTCGATTTTCGGTCCATGTCTGATACGTTTATGTTGAGAGCATGTAATTCTCTGTTCTATGAGAATCGCCAAAGTGTACAAAATTTTCAGAATCACCCCTATATCTAGATGCGAACTTCATACGGCAAAACCCCTCAAGTGCTGGTATCAGATAAACAGCAATCGCTATCTGATAAGGAAATCAATCTGCCCCAACGTGCCCCTTAGGTATCCAATAGCAGTCACTCAACACCCTACTTCAGAAAGAGACGGTTATGGCACTTTAGTATGCAATCCTCAAGACCGAGATGACCCTCCCTAATACATTCCTACCATTAACTTTCCCTAAGTTTTCCCCTTTCATACCTCAGCGATAAATGACCTTGATTGCCAGAGATAATCGGTGAAGCCCGAGCGAGCAAGCTTCCCCACCGCGATAAGCCGAAAGTGGAGTAGAGATCGGCCAACTGTCCGCTCCCATCTACCCCTACAGTCGTATATACAACACGGCCCCAAAGCATGACCCTTCAACCCCGCGCGAGACAACGTGCGTTTTCAGTCAATCATCCGTGCACTGGCAAACAAACATGCCCGCTCCCGTCCCCAATTCCACCACCCCCTTCTGGCGCACCCATCCCCATCCTCTCGACCGCCACCGCAGTACCCCAGACCTCCCTGCTGAATGCGACATCCTCATAATTGGAGCCGGCTTCGCAGGCGCAGCCTTAGCACATTTCCTCTACAAGGACAACCCCTCGCCGCCATCAGTGGTCATTCTTGAAGCACGAGAAGCATGCTCTGGAGCTACCGGTCGAAATGGTACATTCATCCCCTGCCCCTACCACAATCTCATCACCCACTAACCACTACACCAGGCGGACATCTCAAACCAGACGTCTACCTTAACCTCCCCAAGCATATCAAAGAGTATGGTGTCAAGGCCGCAGTAGAGGTAGCCAAGTTCGAAGCCTCTCAAGTCCACGCCGTAAAGGAGCTAGTCGAGACTGAGAACATCGACTGCGACTTCGTCCTCACCCGCGCGTGCGACGCAACCCTGGACGAGGAACTAGCAAAAGAGATTGAGACCGCGTATGCAGAGCTAGTCAAGTCAGGTGTTGCTGATCTGAAAGATGTACAATTTACGCCGCGCAAGGATGCTGAGCGAGTGCGTTTATCCCCTCTCACTTACTCACCTTTCGCCCTACACTCAATACTGATTAGTTACTTTATACAGGTATCCGGCGTCAAAGGCGCCCTTAACTGCTTCACCTTCACAGCAGGCCACATTTGGCCGTACAAGATGGTAATGCATCTCCTCCAAGGTGTTGTGAACCGAGGCGCGAATCTCCAAACCATGACTCCTGTTACTTCTATCGATGAGAACCCTCTACCCGATGGTCGCTGGGTAGTACGAACCGAAAGGGGGAATATAAAAGCGAAGAAAATTCTTCTTGCGACGAACGCATACACATCTCATTTGGCCCCGCAGTTCAAGAACCACATTGTCCCGGTGCGCGGGATATGCAGTCGCATCGTTGTACCAGAGGGCAAGGTGGCGCCGTTCCTACCCCAAACATATAGTATCCGGTATGGGCCGTCCATGTACGATTACTTGATCCCCAGACCAGACGGGAGTATCATTGTTGGTGGGGCCAAGACAAAATTCTGGACGGATACGAAGCACTGGTATGATGTTGTGGATGATGGGAAGTTGATTGAGCCCGCCAAGACGTACTTTGACGGGTTGATGCAGAGACACTTTGTTGGCTGGGAGGGGAGTGAGGCACACACGGATCGCGTGTGGACGGGGAGTATGTTTATCCTCTTTTACCATTATTTCTCTCCTGGGCAAGGATTGACTGACTGTGTCTAGTTATGGGGTATAGTTCGGACTTCATGCCATATGTGGGTGAGGTGCCTGGGAAGCCGAATCAAACTGTTATGGCGGGCTTCTCTGGACATGGCATGCCGCTGATTCTGCTTTGCGCGAAAGCGGTTGCGCGCATGGTGAGGGAGAATGTTGCGTTTGAGGAAACTGATGTACCATCGGTCTTTCGGGTGACGAAGGAGAGATTGGAGAGTACTAAGAATGAGATTTTGGAGGGGTTAGAGAAGGAGCATTTCTCGAGTAAGCTGTAAGTAGGGTATGGGGACAGTCAATATGTCGTCTAGGGTGTGACTGCGAAGACTATGCCTTCGTGAGATGAAAGAGCTATGGATGAGCAATTTCTTCATTCACATCCCTTATATATAAGCTTAAAATGAAAAATTTCTCTACTTGGTCTCCATCGCAGCAGTAGCTGCAATAATCCCCTCCGCTAGCATAGGCAAACTCTCAGCCTCCACGTCCATCTCCCCAAAAATGTCCGGACATTTCTCCTTCTCCCATAGGGACACCCAAGCCCCTTTGAACCTTCAGCATCCAGGTCAGCAAATCTCCTCAATGAACCCCGGAAAAAAGAGCACCGACCCGCACCGCTTCGCTGCAGCCGCATCCCACATATGCGCCGCCGCAAACCAAGACACCGACCCTTCCCCCTCAAACTTCTCCAACAAATATCGATACGACTCTGGCGCCGGCTTACCCACTCCAATAGTATCGCACGACACAAAGTTGTTTTCTGGGAACTTCACTCCACCTTCAGCAAGATACCCAGCCACCCGGGACGTATCGCCTGAGGTCAGAGCCCAAACCGTGAACCCGGCATTCCTTAGCTTCTCAAAACACTCTGCCAGCCCCGGACGGATCTTCAGTCCGCGATACGATGTAAGTAGATATTCACGGTCCTCGTCGGTGGCGAATTCCCGTGGGTTCATAATCCCAGCTTGCCAAAGTGTCCTGTAGAAGATGGAACGGAAGACATCGAAGAATTTGACATAGTGGGTTGAGAGACTCAGGTAGGTGTATTCCTTTTCGCCGGCTTCCATCCATGCGTAGCCGAATAGTCGGGGGTTTATGCTATAAGTTCGCAGCTTGGGGCCGAGACGGGAGTCGATTGCTGAGAAGAACGCGTCGTAGGAGACGCATGTTCCTGGGGTGAATGTTAAAACTCAGTGAGGAATGAAGGGATTATTTTGTTTAAATTGGATTTACCTACGACGTCGAAGACGACGTGTTTGTTTGTGGTTGTTGCCATGTTGGTGTAGGACATGATACTAGTTTTCTTGTCGTGTCAATGCATGTTTCCAAATAATTTCTCTTAATGATCTCAGATGAGTCCCTCATACGCATTGGAAATCCAACAGATGAAGCCCTTTCGGTGAACCGCCGCAAAAGCGAGGAAATAGACGGGCTAACCCGATACTTGGGCTGTGACTGGGGACGACCCCCACTTCAGACTATCTTATCACCTAGGAACCCTATCTCTCGAGCGGGGTCATCCAGACTCCGGATGATAGCCGATAAACAAGCACCGCTGCAGGGGTGTATGAGGCACCACGTCAGCTCGGCGTTTAGCGACAGCCTTCAAACTGCCTGCGCGCTGCTGCGACAGTCTATGCCCTCTATGTCCATTACCCCTCATTCAGCAGCTGGCACTCATGAACTTCTAACGACGATGAGGCTTCCCGTTGTCGAGCTGGATACATGGGAAGGTAGACTTCGTTATGTCTCAATTCACGATTCATACGTCGTCATTGTTCGACCGGAAGGTCAAGTCATTCCGTCGCAATGTCTCTGTCACGGTTGATCCTGTCAGTGGACTAATTATGCGTGTCTTCGAACGCGACTCGAACACCCCATTTTCGGAATTTTTGCAGCCTGGCGATATAGATCTCCGGGGGAAGTACGTGTTGCCTGGACTGGTAGACGCACACACTCACATCTTCCTTCATTCATACGAGTAGGTTTATTCCACGCATTAGTATCAATCGTGAGTGGTATTGACCAAGTCAGTGAGGCCGGAGCGCTTCAGCAGAAGCGCGATGAAAGCATAGGCGAGCGCATGGTCCGAGCAGTTAATCACTGTCGCACGGCATTGCTAGCCGGGTACACAACCTATAGGTATGCGTGTAACCCTCCTTTAACCCAAAGGTAAGAGAACGCATCGACTCACCCCATTCAGAGACCTCGGCTCCGAAGGAATGCAAGATTTCGATGCCAACATCCGCGATGCCATCGCTCGAGGCCTAACTCCTGGACCCCGCCTATTTGTAGCCACCAAAGTTCTTGCCAGCACCGGGTCCTTCGAATGCCGGACAGAAAACAGCGCCGGCGGTCACTGTCTGCCCTCCAGTGCCGACGCCGTAGACGGTGTCGAAGCATGTCGCCAGGCCGTTCGTCGCCGCATAGCTGCCGGTGCAGATATCATCAAGTTCTTTGCCGACTACCGAAGGAGAATCATGCGGTATCCTCCTGCGCAACAACACCCGTATATTGCCGGGGTCTTGCATCCTCCAAAAGACCCGAATCCGGATTACATGGTATTTTCAAAGGAAGAGATGCAAACAATCGTAGCCGAGGCGAAGTTGGCCAGGTGTCCAGTTTCTGCGCACTGTGCAACGCTTGAGGGTGCGATGGCTGCGATTGAGGCAGGTGTATCCACCATTGAGCACGCATATTTTACTACGGAAGAGATGTTCGAGGAGATGGTAAAGAAGGGGGTGATTCTGGTGCCTACGCTGGCTATAGCGGAGAGGTTGCACTCGAAGCGGTTCGATCAGATCCTGAGTGGGGTCAAGCGGGCGCATGAAATGGGTGTAAGGCTGGCTTGTGGTGGGGATACAGGGACGTATCCTCATGGTGAAAATGTTCGAGAGTTGGAGCTCATGATCCAGGCGGGTGTCCCGGTGGGTGATGTCCTAGAGGCTTGTACGATTGGTGGGTGGGAGGCTTGCGGAGGTGATTTGTGCGGGAGACGGTTTGGATGGTTTGAGGAGGGGGCACAGGCGGATATCATTGCTTTGTGTGGAAATCCAGTGGAAGATCCAGGGGCTTTGAGGGAGGTCGAATTTGTGATGAAAGACGCCCGAGTGTGGAAGATTGATGGTATACCGAGGGGAATTTTCTAGCCTTCCTTGTCAAGCTATATACTACTAGCTACTTGGTTGTGGACAAGCGTTAAGTGCATGGTCCCCAATGTAAAAGCCGTAACTCAGGAGATCATGATAGAAAGATTGTGTTATCTTCTCAAATCAAGTGCTCCTTATTTCTCAGCTGCTGTTCCCAGCAATTCCTGCAGTTGCTTACGTCTGACATGTCTATCATTTTGTAATCGAATCCATCAAGAGTATTCAATAAAGGAGCACCCGACTGCTTCCGCTAATTGCTTCCATAGCTTTCTCTCGAGAAGATGCCTCCTTGTTATACTCATGGCTTCCCCATGGCCGTTGCAGCGGTCTCCGCTATAATAGCTGCGCACTGCTCTTGCGATCGCTCAAACATCCGCTGCAAGGCCTTCTCGTCCCTTGGTATGAACCGTATCTTAAAGTCTGACGCGACCGCATTCGATGCTGTCGGATCGCGCTTATAGTGAACGTAGTGTATATTCGGCGGACTTTCTTCATCTTCTACCATTCTGAACGAGACAATGAGACGAAGGATGGTAGCGTAGAGGACCCGATTTGAAAAGTTGACCGCAGTACACATGCGGGAACCTGCACCAAACGCAAAGTGATAGGGTGGAGGGATATCATTCTCTGCCTTTAGCCAGCGGTCTGGTCGGAAATCATCTGCATCTGCACCATATACGTTTTTGTCTGGAACTCAACAGGTTAGCCTAAGACTGGAAAGCAACAAAAGCAATGTAAGCACTCGTACCGCGGTTTGAAGCTTGCGCGTTCACGTAGACGAGAACGCCTTTTGGAATCACAGCTTCTTGGTAAGTAAATTCTTTAAAGGTTTGGCGCGCTGGAAGAAGTTTGAGGGGCGGATAAAATCTCAGTGTCTCCTTTACGATGGAAGAGACATAAACACACTTTTCCTCAGATACACAGAGTTCTAATGCTTCTTCTGGTGAGTTATAGACACTCGTTATGTCTGAGTAGGCCTTGTCTTGCATGTATTGCCCCTGTTTAGTTGACAGGACAGCGATTGCAACAATGATGGTCGAGAACACGGTCTCGAAGCCTCCTGACATTAGGCCACCAAGTATTGTCTTGACATCGACTAGCCATCATCAGCCGTAACTCATCGACATTTGACGGAAAGCACTTACGTTGTGTAAGACCATCTTGATTATCTGTCAATAATAGTTTGGCCACACACTTCCCATCTCCAGTTCGCAGTTGAAGGCTTTCGCGAACACCATCTAACATAGCTGCTAACCATTTATCTCGACGTTTGCGGACTTCAACAGCTGTAGCAGTTCTTCCTCTCTTCTTCCAATACCTCAAATAAGGAATGAAGTCTTGTGGGTTCGAGTTCGTAGATCGAAAGCTGTCAAAGTCAGAAGATACAGTGCTGAACTTGCAAAGGTCAATGACCTTACCTCGCAATAGTGCTAGCATCCTCAAGAATCTGGAGCAGTAGAGGATCGGTAATAGACTCGAATCGCGTCCCGTAGCAGAACATCATCATGATATTCAGCGCAAGGCGCTTCTGATAGATATGAGGCACAATACTAATGGTCCCATTCTGACTGTCATGATAGATGTGCGAGATCATCGAAAATATCTCTAGATCTAACATTGGACTTAACTTCTGGATAGCCGGGCCGGTAGTTAGGGAGCCGACAACCCGTCGCTGCTTTTTTGTCCGCTCATCCCAAGGACTTGTTCCGATAGTGGCAGCTATACATGTCAATTGCATTTCAAGTGGAAAGATTATCATAATATGTTGCATACCTGATGTTGCAGAAACTACCTTATGGAAGGTATAGAAAGATGGTCGGTCCAATGTCGCGGACTGATTTTTGATCATCCAGTCCCGGGCAGCCTGAAATGAATTTATCACCACGGCTCGTCGCTGGCCCATTCGGATCTGGAAGACGGGCCAACCAAATTTCAGTGACCAGATTTCTGCGGTGGTAGCGTGGTCGTTTCCCAACTGATACAGGTGACCTGCCAGAAGCTCACCGCCAGGGATCTCAGGAATACCTATAATTTTGGGGAAATCAACATAGAGATAGCGTAGATATGAGGGGATCGTGATTGTAAGCATTCCTGTAGCCACGAGGCTTACAGTGACGAGGTTGCAAGGCCATGATTGGTCTATTAGAGCAGCCATAGGGGACAGGATTGCTGGTGTGCCAAATGACTGACAATGGTGATGACTTTGGGGGTGTTAAGACAGTTTCCTGGACCACATAGCCAAGGTACATGTGCGAAGCGACTCCTGGACTCCGATATGCAGGTCGGAGGAAGGCGTTGATGTGGGCCGAAACCTCGGGGAATAGCGAGCGGTTTTCAAACCATCTTGAGCCAACTCCCTCCTATTCTGGGATAAGTACAATTAATTCTGCCACAAATCGGCTAGTATCTCAAGTTTTATACTGAGCCTTCATATTGCCATGGCAAGGACCTTGCGCCTGGAAGCGCTCTTCGAGGTTAAGGATCGTTGGGTCGCCATTACTGGTGCAGGTGAAGTACCATCCAAGGATAAAAATGGGCTTAATATTAACATGTCGCTATCAGGTAGCGGTATAGGTCGTATGCTGGCGAGGGGTTGTGCAGTCAATGGGGCCAACACCATTCTGATAGACATCAATGAGCGTGCCTTGGAGGCAGCGAAGACCGAGCTTCAACAGCTCAGCCAATCCGAGGAGTTACCTCCAACCTCTGTGGTCACGTCTGTTCCCCACACATATCCTGCCATGACGCTTTTTCTGAGTGATTGTATAGGATACATGAAGACCTTTCCAGCGAGGCAGGTGTCACAGCAGTCGTCGCCGCGATCAAGTCAATTCGCAATTCGCTTGATGCTCTCATACATTGCGCCGCAGTCCGTTACATGAACGATATCACTTATAGGCCTGGCGGCAGTCTGGACAACCTTGAAGAAGCGTCTCTGTCTGCACCCTATCAAGGCTGGGAACAAACCTTCCGCTTGAATGTGCTTGCGCCATATTATCTGACTGCGGGTCTAGTACGCTTGTTAGGCACAGCAGCCGCGAGAGGCGACGGTCGAGGCTGTGTGGTTATGCTAAGCAGCCCAGCTAGTGTGCATAACCATCAATTTGTGCCCTGCTATCAGACGTCTAAAGCAGCAGTTGATCATCTTGTGCGGATCATGGCTGCGGAGTTCGGAGACTACTACAGTATGTTGTAGCTCGTGGCACCATTCATTGCTTCTTTTCTACGACACTTATCTGATTATATCTGTAGTCCGCGTCAACGGGATATCACCAGGCATTGTGCCTTCCGGAATGACAACAACAGATGCCAATTCAAACCTCCATTTAGCGGCGGAAGCACCAGCTGGCCGAGCAGGGAACGAAGAAGACATGGTAGGGACCATGCTGTGGTTAATCAGCAAGGCGGGCGCTTTCATGGACGGCAAGGTCATCAGAGTTGAAGGTGGCAGGCTTCTTATTCTTCGAGGAGCAACATGTCATTCAGGTTGATCAGAGTAATTGCCAATAGCTGCATTTCAATTCATCTCTGTAACAAGTTTCGACATAGCTGATTTTTTGTTCTCCCGAGACCCAAGACTCAATGGCTTGCCTGTCACCGGGCTTGCCAGGTTGACATATGTGATTTAATTTCTTTGTTTCATATTGGTATGCAAAAGGTCCGTAATAATCTGCCAGGCATGAAGGTACGAATGACCACCCTTCCAATGAGAGCAGAACAAGGTTAGGATTTCACTGCAAAGAAGCAAGTCTCCGAAGTGTGATTGAAAGGTTGTCCATCTCTTCACTATAGCTGTCGCTATAGAGCATCCAGATATAAGGGCCCTTGAGCATGCTGTAATTGGTGATACGAAGCCTTCATCATTGAAGGCTACTCTGTGTGTGCTTGATAAGAGCTCTGCGGCTGCCTTGACAATTTTTAGTCTTAACGTTCTCATTCCTTTCCCTTGCTGGTCGTCTGGTTCCTGATAGCAAGTCACACATTGTTTGTGCCTAACACAAGTGACTAGGAGGACAAGCCAAATTTCCTTTGACGTCGGGGCATTATCTGCAATACCATCGGCTCCATCAATCAGGGCTGAAATTTGGCCAACAAAGGGGCAGCTTCCAGTGTCGCCAGCCCGACCAGTACCGTATATTGCTCGAAATAATAGTCTGTATATAGTAGACGGTATATCCTCGTCTGTTGCGTTATATATTGTATCCTCAATTGACAAGGTTGGCCGATTTGATACCGTTCGTAGTGACCTACAATGAATGAGCTTAGTTGGCAATGATGATGGCTGTTGTACCAACCCTTCAATGTCCCTAAGTACACGCATTAAGCGAGTTCTCATGGGATCATGCGATACTGCCTCCCCATTAATTGTGTTCTCGCTGGAAGACGAGGCGGTTCGGTTCCAGCCTAGCTGCAAGCACGTCCTTCGCGCTACATCAAGGAGTTCCCAGATAACGCCTCGAGTCGGATCGGCCATTTCGTATACAAGAAGGAGCAGAATAGCTTTCATAGAGTCTGCGTCGGCAGAAGATATAACTGGGGCAATGAAGTCATTTGCCCACTCACGGCATGTATTGGCGAACGGTTTCCAAATTGGCTCTTTGTACGACTTTTGGGTGGCGGAAATAGCGCAGGCCATAAGTATCTGAAATCTTCGCGTTTCAGGCAGCTTCCGTAGGTACATGCCATCATAGCTCAAAATTCCGACGTCCAAAATGTCATATTGCGGTTGAACAAGGCGATGGTAATCTTTTAGAAGGCCACGCACCGCACCGGGGGTAAGTGTGGACCTGTCAAGACGTGGAATGTCTGGAAATGAGAAGCTTTCCTCATCAACAGTCATCTTGTCATGCGTTTCCTGACGTTGTGAAAGTACCTCGAGTGTGACCTCGACAATGCGTGATGGAAGTGAGAGGTCAATGTATAGATCTTTACCAGAGCCGGGCATAAGAATGAAGGAGGAGATTGAGGAAGGTCCTGTTGGGATGCCATCAGGAGTAGTCTCTGTTAGGCCACTTTCGCTGTCCAGGTCCGAGTTAGCTTCAGGCAGAGTGAAGTAACAATAGTGTGCTTTCACCTTGATGGGATCTGAGGATTTATCGTTAATTCAGTGTTCAGCTTCTCGATTTTATCCTGTAATGTCTTGAGATAGCTATCTTTTATGAGCTTTCGGCTGATTTATTGTTGGGTTTTGTCATGCAGACCATCGGCTGACATCTACTTGTAAAGCTTCATCTCGAAAGGTACACTCCACATCGTGCTTGGAGCAGTTTGCGCATGCTGGAAGCAAGGAGTCGCACTGGAAGAATGTGCGTTAGTCTACTGTTAGGTGACGATTGTGATAAGGGAAGGGTAATAGGTACCTTGATCCTCCGGCTCCTGCAACGGGTACAAGTCGGCAGCATCTTTTCAAATGTTGTGCCCTCGTTATCAGCGATCTTTTCGCTTTATGACACGTCTAGGATGTCTTTAAGCACATATCACTCCGATTGATCCCAATGTTGTTTGAGAGAGTCGAATTGAGTGGACTCGAGGCAACCCATCTAATTTCAATCCAGCATCATCACGGGGTGCTGTGATATTACGCTAAGCCTGGATGGGTTAGATAGACGTAGCTTGCTTTGAGACAATTGGCTGACTTTGTTCCTTATCAGGTGATGCGGGGAAATATGTGACTATTACTAGATATAGCAGTTGGTCTGTTTATCTTGCATCACTCTTGCGACTTCATATTGTCTCATGCACGTTGGCCGCCCACAATGCCACGATCTAGGCGCTCGACTAAAGTATGTTCACGCTGTCGGAAACGCAAGACGAAGGTTTGATACCATAATACTTTGTTCCAGTTATCCTTTTCGTTGCTGTAATATGCATGTGACATTCATACTCCGTCTCTAACACGACAATGCACCATAGTGTGACTTCATCTTTCCAGCATGTACTCCGTGCAAACTCGCAAGCTTACCTTGCTTGGGCTTTGATCCTAGCTCTAAGGAGGCAGTCCCAAGGAGGTATGTATCTACACCTTGTCTTGGATCATCTAGGACTGATTATGTGTCTCAAGCTTTGTCAAGTCACTCGAGGCTCGGGTTGAAGAGCTCGAAGCACAGCTGCGCTCATTCAACGCCGCCTCCAGTAATATTCCGTATCTCATCACGACGGCCGTCGCGCAGGCTACCATATCCATTGGTGTGCCCTTTCAAAACTTGTTTCTCAGCTCTAAAGCCTCATCTCCATTGTTCTTTCGACCTTCCTGTCCCCCTTTGGCAATAGCCCGGGAACGGGTACAATATAAACCTGTGACGAATTTGAGCCTACAACATAACAATTACAATCACGGGGCGCCGATTAACTTACGCAGTGTTCCATTTTCGGCGATCAACCGCATGATTCGAAACTATGTTGACATCCACCTGCCCCAGTACCCTTGCGTGTCAGAAACTATGGTAAACGAAATACTCGACAGAATCCAGCGTCAGGATTTGAAGGACCCAAAGGCACTACCAATCCACCACGTGCCCACTGATGCTGGACTGGGGCATTTCGAGTATTTTGTATTGCTTATAGCACTGGCAATTTCTGCCATGACATTGACATGGAAGGCCGATTATCAAGCTCGAGCGGCTTCAGAGTCTTTCTATAACGCGGCATTGAAGCACCTACAGGCCATAACAGATCATAGCGAACTACAGGCACTACAGATTTCTTTACTCTTAGCTCACTATGCACATATGTGCCCGGAGAGAGTAGACAATTGGACATGCATCTCTAACGCTGTTCGTATTGTCGTCAATCTGGGGCTCTATATGGAGTGCAATCAACTGATTCAAGGAGAGCCTTGTCAGCGAAGCGTACTATTTTGGGTAGCGTACGGTATGGAGAGGTCATTATGTACGAACCTCCGCCTTCCACTGTCATTTCCGGAGGAGGCAATCACGGTAAAGGTAAGTTTCTCAAACTCTGAGACTCTTTGAGAAACTCACAGAAGGCCAGCTCCCCACAACAGGAAAGGCAAACCTCAATCCGGGGCACTCCACCAGTAAGCCGAGCAAGATGTCTGTGGCTTACCATATATGTCGGTATCGTGCATTGGAAACAGAGGTTCATAGAGTGCTTCACCTAGAAGAAGACTTATCCAAGTTCGGCAGCAGCACGATAGAAGACTGGATTGAGAGCATCACCCAAAGACTAAAAAGGTGGTACGAGAAGGCACAGTCATACACACAATATGATATGCTTGATGTGCAGTTTCACCACCTCATGGCGCGCATCCACCGGCCTACGCCCCGTCTAAGAATGAGAGGTCCAGACAACTGGAAGGCTGTGCTAGATGCATCATCAGTTTTGATCCAAGATTACCTCGCTCAGGAGCGGCGTCGGAGGCTATTCTATCCTTGGCATGGGGTGCACATTCTCTTCGAAACTGCAGTCATCTCGCTCGAGGCGTGCTGGTCAGCACGAAATTATGGGCCGCTACAAGGTAGAGCTCACAAGATGTTACATACCTCGATCCCTCATTGTCTTCAGCTTCTCACCAACATCGGTGAGCGCTGGGGCGAGGCAGCCGTATGTGCTGATCGGTTAAGGCCGCTCGCTGATAATGTCAGGACCGCTCTCACAAATCCTGACACCCTGTTGTTGGCCATGGTTGATGACAGTATTATCACGGCAGAGATACTTGATTTACTGTTCACGGACGGGCCATTGTCATGGACCCGAGCCAACTGCGGAGATATCCCGTCTGGTCTGAGCGACAGCGATCCATTGCTAAATAGCATGGCGGATGACAGTCTCGAACTCTTCTCGTGGAATCCCGAATGGGACATCATGCCTACTGACTCAATCCAGGGGTATGAGCTTTAACCAAAGTTATCACCTCTACTACGATGATCGTTTTCCTACCTCGTTTTCTTTTCGTCGATTATTATCATCGATCTAACATACCATGCCTGATCCACGCCGATACCCGCAATCAAATCAAGTCTGGACTGTAATGACTTTCCGTTGCTCGCTCTAGCATGGTCAAGCAACAAGTCAGGTTCATATCAAGTGGCATCTTTTGCTGAACTCGAAATTCATGACCGTGTAGAGATATACAAAAAAAGACGGCGACATATAGCATTAGATAATTCGGCCCTACTAGCTTAAAGGACGCAATATTCTCACGCCGTGTGGACAATACCACGACCGAGTCTCTCTATCTGGCTACTATACCAACTCTGAGAAAGGAAGTAATGTCAGCGAGTGGCACCCCAATCACATACATCTCACTTACACTTTCAATGCCAGCCCCAACCGATCTGTTGCTCAACATTTTGAGGATCCAAGGCTGGCTTATCTGTTGCGTGACAAGCCGTGCGCTCTCTTTCGGGACATCTGGGTTCAATAGAATGTCATTCGGTAAAGTCGGTCTGAGGACTGCTGGACGCCCAATCCCAATCATGTCGCAGTCCCCATCTGTCAGTGCCTTCTCCATACCGGCTCGGGTACGGAAACCGCCCGTCACCATCAATGGAGTCCCTGGGAATTGCGCTCGGATAGCGCTGGCGAACTCCAGGAAGAATGCCTCCCGAGCCACTGTCCGAGCGGACTTTTCGGGCTGCTTAGTTGACGTGGAGGAACTCATCATCTGGGCAATTATCAGCTGTGCAACCAACCACATGCCAAGGGAACAGTTCATCCTACCGAGGGATCCTCGTACGACCCACCACTGATTTCAACAAAGTCCACGCCCGCCTCAACGATCAGCTTGAGCTGCTCAACACAGGCCTTCAATGCACTTTCGGATTGATGATCGACTGAGTTCAACTTTATCCCCACGCAGAAATTCGCAGGAACCGTTTTGCGAATCGCACGGATGATTTCGACAATAATCTTCACACGGCCAGCCGGCGAACCGCCATAGCTATCCGTCCTTAGGTTCGCCGTAGGCGACAGAAATTGGGACAAAAGGTATCCATGTGCTGCATGCAACTCCACTCCCTGGAATCCCGTCTGTGATGCCAGCCGACTAGTATAAACGAACTGCTCAACCACATGATCGATATCCTTCTGGGTCATTTCCCTCGGGGTACCGAAAATCACCGAACTCGCGACTCTATCCACGATTCTCGAACCAATGTTCAGCGGTATGGGACTGGGCGCTACATTCTTTGCAGTGAGACATCGCGACCCCGCACCCATGGGAGATTGCCTTCCAGGGTGACTGATTTGCATGACTGTTGGCGTGCCATGTTTCGTACAAGCAGCGGACCACTCGCTCCATCTGCGTATCAGCTCTGGTTCGATAGCTGGGTTCGGTGCAAGGTCATGCGCATCTCCAAGGTACATCCTATCCACTTGAACGTTTCCTGTCACAAACTCAGCGCATGATTCACTGCCAACGGAGACAGTGTATGGCACTCACCTGTCAGAAGCATACCCCAACCACCCCGTGCCCACTCGGCATAAGCGCGATTATGGAGCTCTGTAGGCAGGTTATCACCATCAGACATATGTTCTGCCATTGCAGCCTTCACCAAACGGTTCTTCATTTGCAGCCCACATTTGAGGGTCAGCGTCTCTGAGATTGCGGATTCCATGGTCGGTTCTCAACCAGATGATAGACTGAACTGTGATATGACTAGCAAACAAAGTCTCGTCCGTCGACAGTCAATTTATAAAGATAAAACACCTGTCTATCTGTTCCCTGAGCTTGGACCTGAAATAATCACATAAGAATGCCCCCTTGATCAATAATACCTTCCGTTCCTTTCTAGAACCCAATCGATAAATCATATGTCTCCGAGGCCCGCACACCGTGCGACGGTACAATCACCTTAAATATCATCGAACAACCAATAAGAGTTATCACATCCCATCCCCTTTTGAGAAAAAGTTGCGAGTTCACGCGGCAGATCATAGTGGCAGAATGTCGGAACTCAATCGAGTCCCGAACATGTAAGTGGGTCTATCCACTCAAGTTCCGACACCCGAGACCGCTCGCTCGCCACTGGGGATTCTGTCCGGGTTTCGGGTGTCGTTTTCTATCTAACCCTCATTTATACTTTGTATGATATGGCTGGGAGGATGGGAGCCTCTGTTTTAATAATGCCTGTGATTTTTGTAAAGAGAGAAGTGTGCTTTATGAAGAAGTACCAGATGCCTCTACTATGAAGGATTGAAAATTGGGGTAAGGAGGAAGGTGGAGGAATACTCTGGTTATATACTTAGGACACCCCTCAGACATGAACGTTACTATTACTATTGGCACGCCTTCAGTTTACTGGATCGAGCCCCATCCACACACGGGTGGGTACGACTAGTCTGAGACAGTCCAAATTTGAACTTAAAGACCTTGAGTATATATATAAGCTGACAGATGTGCAGGGAGAAGTCATTAATGACCCGGGATGATAATGATATTGATCAGGACGGATGATTGTTGTACCCTGATGATCCTACTTAGTTGAGAGTAAGTATATAGTATTTATCAGGTATTGACTTTTTAGAGCTAGTTGATACTTCGCGTGGGAGTTGATAGTTTGGATGTTCGTGCTACGGAGGGACAAAAATATTGCTAGTGGTTTGATATCTTGGTGTTTACATATATTACCACGAGTTGTAGTGATGTGCGAACGGAATTTCCAAACAACAAGTCTATCAGGACTGTCCTCAGAAACGTAAAACAAGGCTACGGCGCAACAATTTCAGAGAATATCCAAGAGGTCACCGCACAACAAATAAAAGGACAAATCAGTAATCATCACACCTGCGCTGCCGGGAACCCATGACAAGGCCAATCCGGTCTCGGAAAGCGCTGGGGTCGCGTATACTCCTCGAAGAACATGTTGCCGACGCTAACATTCGAATGCATAGTATGCGCCTCGCGACCTCTCACCCGACCGTACTGAAGCCCACGTACACTAGGGTACATCACGTTCTGCAGCATTGCCAGCGCTCTATGGTTGGACTGGTCAAACCACAAATGATCCGGATGCACAACAAGGACGGTATCGTCCATCGCCGATTGGACATCTATGAAGAAGATAGGGAAATGGCTGTCGCGTTCTCCGTGATAGGTGAAGACTTCCCAGAAGATCTTCCAGACGTCGTCGAGTGTGCCATCCGCTTCACTGTCCCAGGGAACGTAACATGCAACTTTAGATCCCCAGTGACTCTCTTCCACTTGGCCTAACGTGCGGATTTCTTTTTCTATCTCGTATTTTTCGGTCCGGGAGAGGTCTTTCGTGAGATAAAACACTGGTATGGTGTATTGCCCTTTCTTTGCTGGGAGCCATCGCGGTGGATTGGGGTAGAACGGTTGGTCAAATGGACGCAGTAGCTCCGGGTCGACCTTGTGACTGTACATGTACTGTTCTGCCGCCTGTCCTCGTCTTCTCATCATTTCAATCCAGGGTCCTCTGTCTAGGATTATGTTTTTCAGGGTTATTCGTGCCACATTTGGCAAATCACCTCGTTCGTACTTGACAATCCCTAGTTCAAGGTCGTTAACATTCTGAGCGACGGGCATCTGTTGAAGGAAGTAAATATTGAATGGGGCTGAGTTGTCCCCTGTTCTAAGCCGATACGCCTCCCATAGGTTTGCGAGGTCACGGCGAGACCTGGTTCTGTGATATTCCCAAGGGATGAAAGTGATGGTATATGATCGAACACCGGCGCGCTCGATTTTCCGGTAGTCCTCAATGACGTTCTGAAAGAGGGTTTGGATATGATGAAGCTCGGGTTGCGTGGCTGGGAACAGGAGAAAGATGTTCAAGTGCTTTTCCTTGTGGTATATCCACGGCGGCAACCACATAGGAGTCTCGTTGGCTATAGAAAGCCAGTCCAGGACTTGCTCCGCCAGCTCCGGTGGCAATGGTGTGTGTTTTGTCAAGAAGGCCGCGGTAATATTGAACCGTTCTTCGTGACTGAGAGAGGTTGCTCTGTCGGCGGAAAATGGGGGCCGGTCAGGGTCATAGAGAGTGAGGCCAGGATCATCATATCGATCGCGTTCAATGTTATGCATGAGCGACCTCTTCGGTGGTTGCAAGTTGGAAAGCTTTTCAAGAAAATCTTTGCTGAACCCGTCTACAGTGGCCCGCTTAGCGAAGACGCAAAAATCGCCCGTTGGGGCTAAGACAACTGGCTCTGGCTTGACAACGACCATTACCAGTGACAACAGTGGATCCTCCCACAAGCGAAGATTGCCATGTACCTGGCGCTGGGTGAGACCATCTGCTACGAGGAATCTTGTCCATCCAGCCCGATATGCTAAGATGGCCATTGCGTGGATGTTCGCCTGGCTGTCTGGGCAAGAGCCATGGAGGGCGACTCGACGTAGCAGCCCCGAGGATGGTTGCCATCTTGTCAGTGTTATATTTTCCTTTCTAAAGAACTCGTGTAGGCGAGAAGCAAGATAAGCTTGTTCGGCTGGGGTTTGCTTGGCCAGGTAGACAAGCAGCAATGGATATTTGTCCTGCTGCTTCTCGTCGATGAGGTGTGGGATTCCGTACGCTGGAGCGGCAGGCCCAGTGCCGTTGTCCGATCCAATACGGGCTTCCATCTGTTCTGTTCCTCCCCGATACCAGGTTCTTCGGCCGGGATTAGAGGGGTGCGAAAGGTTAAGCGGATGAAGATGCGGGTGGAGAACTAAGCAGACAGGGTGGGACGGTCGATGAATGGGATTGATCCCACTGACAGGGAAAATAATTGATTGCAGTGGGGAAATCGTATGGACCCGGCATTACTGAAGCACGTGGCGGCTGTCGGCGCATGGAGCTTGAATTCGCAGACGAATTGAATATCTGGACGTGGCTTTGATTGTGGATGAGTTTCAGGATATAAGTTGGCAAGAAAACAATCAAGATGCTATAGCCAATGCAACAGACAGACACTCCCCCATTCGAAATGTACCTATGTATTAGTCAGTTGTGATCGCTGCCTGGAAGCAACGGCGATCAACGCCGCGCTGACTTCCGCCTGCCACTTTCTCCATATGTCGGGCAGACCCTCACCGCCTGAAATAGTAATGCCTGAGGCATAAGCGGGGGTATCCTGAAGGGTGTGCTGCGACTTGTTGGGTTTCATACGCTCTCTAATCATACTAACACTAATTTATCTAGCTATCTATAGTTCTATGGGCGAATATTCATGTTATCGTTAGATTCTCATCCATCTACATCAGTATCCCAAGCCTTTATCAACTTGGTTGATCAGATGTTGTCCACGAGCCCGTCTCTCCAAATTGCTCTGCAGTATCTTGATCGCACGATCATTATAGTGGGTTGAATTCCCACTGCAATGCGGAGTAATGATGACATTCTTATACCCCCACAGCTTATGGTCAGCTGGCAATGGCTCCGGGTCTGTAACATCCAGTGCTGCGCCTCGGATCTGACCCGCATCCAGGGCATCCATAAGATCATCTGTTTTAATCACTGCGCCCCGGGCAATGTTGCTAACATAAGCCTTCTTCTTGCTGAGCTGGGCAAATTGCTCCCGCCCGATCATGCCTCGTGTTTCCCCAGTCAGCGGTACAGTAATCACCAGCAAGTCCAGATCTGAACCCAGGAAGTCATTCAGTTGATCTTTGCCCCAGAACCACTTTGACGGAAATTGACCGTCCTCGTCCCCAAGGCCTGGCTCGCTATATAAATCTGCTTTTCGCGATTCAGGCGTGGCTCGGGGGTGCAGTGTGAAGGCATGAACGTCCATGCCAAAGGCCTTGGCGACTCGGGCGCATTGCCGGCCGATACTTCCATAGCCCATGATTCCACTAATATGTGTGTCAATTGCTGAATACTTGAAAGACTCAAAGTCACACTCACACTCTGAGGCCAACTGCATCCTCAGTGTCCTCATCCGATGTCGGGTCGATCCATTGACCGGCTTTTTGGTTGTCAAGGTATGCCGGGACTATCTCATCGTTAGCGTTATGTTCCTATCGATGGGTGTGGTCGACGTACGATGATGCTGAAAGGCAAGGAAGGTCATGAACACCCATTCTGTGATTTGAGGTCTGATCCGTCAGTTATCTCCTTCTTCCAGAATATGCTTGACAAAAACTCACGGATGAACCCCATTTGCTGTACAGAATGCAACGTCGGTCTCATCGAACAGCGGTGTACCCATAACATGGTTGCACCCGGCACTCAAAAGCTGAACATATTGTAGACTTGGAGCCAGTTCCTTGGGCGGAAGAAGCCTCCAGGTAAAGAGTGCTGTAACCTCTCTCCATGTCTCGGGGGATACGTCAGTGGGTAGCTCCGTAGCAAATCGGTCAACTTCGCGTTTCTCGATGCGCAGGTGAGGCACAGCTCTTTTCAGGCTATCGATCCATTTGTCTGGGAAAGCACAGGGCATGAGAATTAGTAGGAATTCCTGGGATGACATGATGGGATAGCTCGAATTTTGAGTGAATCGAGAATTCCAGTGTGGTATTAATGAAAGAAGGATGTGGAGTTGCTGGGGTATACATACTTACTACTGAACAGGAAGTGAGGGGGGGATGGTGCGTTATCAATGTGCAGAGATAAGTACTAAGTTAGTTAGTACTACATTATCATATCAGTTGGTGTCTCAGGCACATACCCCGCCCACGTTCGGCCTGCGGGGCCAATCATAAAGCAGCATTGGTATTTAGTTAAATACACTTCAACTATCGTATTCAGATAAGTCGTAGTACTAACGTGGCGTTATTGTATGTGGGAATGCATTGGACACTCTATTGAGAAGTAAGTACTTCTCATGTACAAAATTGGCCAGCTAATTTTGTTCGACAACAAAGACCCCTTAATACATCATCTATGCCCAAATGTAACATGGCGGTACTAGATCAATTACCAAGCTTGTGGAATGAAAGATCTATCAACTCGAAGTAGAATAAGTAGAGTACGTCGCAGGATCAATGTTAATCGGTGTAGAAGTAACATTGGCTAGTTATATGTAATAGGGGGAGATGAGCTCCATTGATTGCGGCCGGATGATTAGTGTTAGTGAACAAAGCACTAACAACGACTATAACATAGGATAATAGTTTTGAAATTGTTTTATATGAAGAACTTGAGTACTACTTCAATACCATAGCACAGTGACTTACAGTTACAGAGTTGGTGTCAATGAATCTGATTGTTATGACCAGTCAGCGGAGTCGGACTAATAGTCAGACCGACACTACTATGCTTCTATTCTTAGGAGGCCTCAGGCCGTGGGTCCTGTCATAACTTTCCCGCAGTAGATAGTTTCTTCTTCTTGACCAGAAAGAAGTGAAACGTACCCATACAGCAATAGTGTACTAACATGTTCAACCTCTACGGCTGGAGTGGGAGCCTCAAAATGGGGGAATCTGACAGATAAAATCAGGCTGCGTGAACGTGGAGTATCTAGCACTACCAAGCCTTAATACAATAGATCAGACACCAGAGAAAAAGAAACCAACCTAATCGGGATTTGAACTACCTTAGTACTTAGTAACTTAGTACCTACTGGGTAGCAAGCCCTGACTGCGGACATATACATCCCGTTAGAATCAGACCATGTCACTTACTATCTACTAGCACTACCACTACTACTTCATACCTAGTCTTTAAACTTAAAACAGGGTTAGAATAGAAGCAGCATTAACTTCCCCAATTCACAAACTGCAGCAACCCCCATACATAAAGTTCTACTAGTTTTTCAATCATCATACTCTTTCTGTCTTTGCCTCGTGATCGGCAACTCTCCCCCTCCATGTGACAGCCCCGATCGGGATCCACGTTCTCTCTCTCTCTCTTCTCTCTTTCTCTTACAGTTCCAAGTTGCTTTTTCCTCCTCCCTCTCTGTCTCGCTTCTACTTCTTCTTCGATCGTCTCCTTCTTTTCATTCCCCATTCCTCTCTTACTTTTTGCCTCTTTTCCCGCCTCTTCTGCGGCATCTGCTGCCTCTTTCCTGCAGTCTACCTAACTGGGGTATGATTGACGGCCTCTTGGCCTCCCACTCCCATCTTGAGTCCTGTCGGGTATTTTGCTTTTTCCCTCCTACCTACTTACTACCTTTTGGCCTTCACCTCCATCTTATAACCTGTTCACCGGCCAGTATCTAGTGGTGGTGTGTTTATTGGTGGTGTGTTACTTTGGTGCGACACCGCCCCTCCACCTCGGGATTCTTCCATTCCTTCTGTCCGCCTCTCCACTGGGCTTCCTTACTTTCCTTCCTTCCTTCCTTCTTCTCCTCCCACACTGCTAAGCCACCACCACCACCACCACTGACCTCTTCATGGCGGGTTGGTCACACAACGCACAACACACACTGACTCTCTCCCATTTTCTCTCCAGTTAGCGCAGTGGTTGTCCCACTCTGGGAGTTCAACCCTACGCTTATCCCTATCGGTGTGGGGGAGGTGGGCAATACGCCCTGCGGGGTGAACTTGACTTATCGGCTGCAGAAGTCCAGATCCGACCGGGGATTGATTGATTGATTGATTGATTGATTGCGATCGGAGGGCCAACAACGTGGTCCCGACCGGCCCTCATCCCTGTGCAACCCACCCCAGTGCCAATCACCGGTTGATCCCTCCTCCGTCTCAAATTCCTTACTACTTAAATTCCACTCCCTGCTTATTCCTCCCCACCGCTCGCCCCAATCGATCGGTGGCCAGCCCCGTTGCCAACTCTGCGCCGCGCCGCCCTGACCGGAATGCCTGGCCCGACTGCCTCCGATTTCCCTTCGTCTTCATCCTCCTCTGCCTCCGAGTCCTCCTCAAGCACCTCGGTCCTGCCGGGACCCCCGAGTACCCGCGCCCGCAGCCCGTCAGCATGCACCGTCCCCAGACCCTCACATCCCTGGACCCCAGACAGTCTGCCCTCGCCTAACGCCTCCTCGTCGACCCGGTTGCGGATGCCGTCCGTCGAAGACCCCGCGCCCGCCGTCAGCTCGGACGCTTCCGCGGCGGGCATCCACGGTGATACAGACGATCGGAATACAAGCGAATTGGCCGCCTCCGCCTTCCTGGCTGTCCCCCAGTATACGCACGTCTTCGAGTCTCCCGATCGGCCCTACGCTACTTCCTCCGAGGTGGTGAATGCGGTGAGGGCGCGCGACGATTTACTGGTGCGTCAGACTGTGCCCGACCATGCGCCCAACCCGTCGTCGCCCCCGGTGGAATGGTACGTTTCGGACTCGGAAATGACAGACGCGCTGTCGGAGATGGGTGGCGTCCCGCTGGAGCCCTACATCGGTGGACACGTCGGTATGGCAGCCCTCCTCAACCAGTCGCTGGATACCCCGGTGCCCGCGCACCACGTCGCGTCCACCATCTCCAGCGACACCGAAGATGGGGAGGCGACCGATCTGATCATGGACTATGAGCCGTCGGTGATGGAGAACGGGTCCACGTCGCAGTCGATCGCAGAGGACGACCCGGATGACACGCAAAAGTTCTACTCGGATGATGGCGATGAATACGACGACGATGTCGCCAGTGACATGGGGACCCGCCATGGCACAGCGTATTTGTCAGAGGAAGAGCTGGAAGACTTTTATCACGACCCACCTTCACCCTCTGCTCCTGAATTATCTGATATGGGGCCCGGTTCCATGCGCGACGACTACAGCAATGTTTTTTCCGAGGGGGACGATTCAAGCAATGCCGACCCGACGGGCGAGACGCATTTTGCTGCTCCAGTGGTTGGAACTAGTGAGTCTCCATCGGTTTCTACGGTTCTTGCGGCATGCTAACCTAGTACTAGCCCGCGAAAGGAATCTGAACGTGGACCAGTTTATTGCCCAGTGGCTGTACCAGTCGTCCGCCGCCTCCGCGATTCCCAGTCTGTCCATGTCGTCGGCACACCTCCCCCGCAGCGCCATTGCGCATCTGATCGGGTGGATCCCTCCGCCGAAAATCTATCGACCGCCGGGGTATGCGCGAGATTTCTACGATCTGCAACAGATCCCCTGGTGGGATGCCTTGCGGATCAAACGGGCTTATGTGCGCGAGCTGCGGGACCAGTCGTATACATCGTACCACAACCTGGAATATTCCCGGCAACGGCCTGGTGCGAGGTTGCCGCAGGAAGAGTCGTACTTTCGCGGCAAGGCCATGTACACGGAACACAAAGCCACCATCGAGCACTTTCAGCTCCGGAACCTGATGTCGGTGGCGGCATACAATACCGTCCACTTTGCACACGAGTCAAAGGTCTACTCGTGGGTGCCCGCATACGACGATCTCGTCTGCCTGCTCGACCTGTCACGGCCGACGGTCGAGTCGGGGCTGCAGGGCCCCGTCAAGATCTCGACGATGAAGTCGGCGCATGACACGACCATCGCGGGCGGGTTTTCGGGCGAATATGCCGTGCGAGCGGCGGGCACGACAGGCCCGGGCGTGCAAGGCTATGTGACCAAGGACGCGAATGGCATCACCAACCATGTCGACATCATTCCGAGCCGGACGAATCGGTCTCCACTGGGGATCTTCGCGTCGAATGACCGTCACTTGCGGGTGCTGGATTGCGAGACCAACACGTTTGTGGCGGACCACGAGCTCTCGCGGGCCATCAACTGCACGACGACCTCGCCAGACGGGCGCCTGCGCGTGCTGATTGGCGACTCGGCGGACGCGTGGGTCGTCGAAGCGGATACCGGGCGCCCGGTGCACCCCTTGCGCGGACACCGCGATTTCGGGTTTGCGTGCGCCTGGGCGCCCGACATGCACCACATCGCCACAAGCAATCAAGATAAGACAGCGATCATCTGGGATGTGCGCATGTGGCGGATGCTGCAGAAGATCGAGTCCGATGTGGCCGGATACCGGTCACTGCGCTGGTCGCCCGTGGGCGGCGGGCCGCGCACCCTGCTCCTGTGTGAGCCGGCGGACCGCATCGCCGTGGTCAACGCGCAGACATACCAACGTCGCCAAGTGCACGACTTCTTTGGGGAGATCGGCGGTGCCGACTACGCGCCGGATGGCAGCACAATCTGGGTGGCCAACACGGACGAGCACTTTGGCGGGTTCCTGGAATATGAGCGACGGCAGTGGGGACAACGATATGGGCTGCGGGATCGGCCGAACGAGTGGCTGCGCGAGACGGAGCTGGACGACGACGAACGATGCATGTTGACTGAGCGCGAGCGACAGCAGCGATGGATGTGGACACTGGAGGACGAGGAGCATGAAGCGATGCTATTGTAGCGATGGGTGTACGAGTAGTGAGTGCATTATATTGCATAATTGGGCGGAGCCGTGATTTAGAGATACCACGTTATTGCCGTTTTAGCCATGATTCGAAGCATTCTCACAACATTATTCACCATCACTTACTATAATAATACAAGTACTCCGTACAAAGTAAACTAAATCGCCCGATCGTGGCTGAGCGCCCTGCCCCACTGCCGATCATTTCCATTCCTTCATCCCCTTTTAGTAGTACATCTCGTCTACACCGCCACAGCCCCTCATAAATACTCCTACCCCTTACCCCTCCATCATCATCATCCCCTCATCTCATCAACTATCTCCTTTACCCATCTTCATCACCCATCCAACCCAAAAACCCCCTACGAAGTGAACCGTAAAGAAAGAAAAATGTCCTTCTCCAACCTCATCTCCTCCGCCCTCGAACAAGCCACCTCCGGCTCCCACTCTTCCTCCGGAGGAGGTGGTGGCTACGGCAACTCTGGATCCTACGACCCCGAATTCTCCTCCGCCCAACACCACGCACAATCCCACGAGTCTTCATCCGATAGTTCCCTCTTCTCCTCCGCCCTGGGCTTCCTCTCCGACCGCAAGAGCCAGTACTCAGAGCAACCCGACATTGACGAGGAGCATCTCGTGCAGTCGCACCAGCGGCTGTATAACGGTGGCGGAGGGTATGGTGGAGAGCAGCAACAGCATGATAGCAGCAGCTTGGGTGCCGGCGCTGCGATGCAGGCGCTGAAGATGTTTACTTCCGGTGGGGGTGGTAGCAGCGGTGGTAGTGGGGACAAGAATGAGTTTATTGGGATGGCGATGGCGCAGGCGAGTAAGCTTTGGGAGGAGAAGGCGGGATCGGGTAATGTTGTAAGTCTTATTTATTCCTTTTTACTTTGGTGGTGGTGGTGGTGGTGTGGGCTAACTGGTGTTGGGTAGTCTGGTGATAAGCAGTCGGCTGTTAACTCGGCTGCGGAGATGGCGTTCAAGATGTATATGAAGAGTCAGGGCAGTGGGTCGAGTGGTACCGGTGGTCCCGGGGCTTTGATGAGTTTGGCGAGTAAGTTCTTGTAAGTAAATATTTTAGGTTGTTGGGTATATGAGGACGGGTTGGTAGTTTATGAGTGTTGCATTTGATGGCAGGGTATATCTACTGGTTCAGCTGCAGCAGTGCTATACATGTCTATTTTATCTACCGGGTATGCTTCTAGCTCAGTCTCTCCTGTGTAGTATGTAGTCTACCACTCATCATCTTCATCATGATGTCCCTGCATCGCGTGCTGTCGCGCCTTAAGTGCCTCTGCCAATCCTCCCGCCAGACTCGCGTTCGACGCGCTGTTCGGCGTCCCCCGTCCACTGCCGCCAGACGAGTCGTGCGAGTTCATGCTCACGGCACTATCGCGCGGTGCTGCCGGGGGTGTGGGTGCCACCTTCCGCCCAGCCATGTTGGGCCGCTTCGCTGGCGGGGCAGGCGGTGCCGGCTTGGCCTTGGCTTTGGCGGCCACTGCGGCGGCGGCACCATTAGTCGCCGGCACGGGGCTGGCGCGGGGTGCAGCCGGTGGCGGCGGGGGCGGTGCAGGCTTGGGTGACGCTGCCACTTGCTCCTCGAGGTAGGCCTCGGGCGTCCAGCCCTGAACCGATGTCGCTGTGTTCATACACAACCACCATCCTGCAGACATTAGCTGACATTCGTCGTAAACAATGGGCTGTATCACTCACCATTTCCTTCCTTGGACACAATCTGCACAAGTTCGCCCGCTCGGATCGACAGTTCGTTGGTCTGGTCGCTGTTAAAGTCGTACAACACCTTCGCCATTGGCTTTTTCTGGGCTGGCGGCGTCGCAGGGGGAGGTGGGGGCGGTGCCCTTGCGGAGCTGGTGGATGCATTCCGTGTGTGCTGCGCTGCGGCAACCGCGGCAACAGGTTGAGGGACCGGTCTGGGCTGCGCTGCAGGCGACACAGCTGGCCTGGGGGCGGGGGGTGGTTGCACGGCAGCCGGCTGCGCCGTGGACTGAGGCAAAGGCTGGCGCGCCGGTACAGGTCTGGATGCCAACTTCGAGGGCCCGCCGCCAGGACCACCAGGCCGAAGCAACTTGCCCTTCGTCACGGGTCGCGCAGCAACCTGCTTCGGGCGTGGCGTGGGTTTGGAGACAGAGCTAGGGGGTTCACCGGCACTCGTATGGATGGTGCTGCTCTTGTAGCTGTCGACGTTCGAGGCTGCGGGGTCCTTGACCACCTTGACGGTGGCCAGCTTGCCCGGCTTCTTGTTGTACTCGATACTAGGGAGGATTAGTGGCGCTCTCGATGAGGACGAAACGAACTTACTGGTCGGCAATCTTCAGGTTCAGTTGTCCCCGAAGTGCGTTGGTGAGGTGTGTGAAGAACTCCGTCTTGAAGACACAGTTCATCAGTGGGTCCGGCTCCTGTCCGCCCACCACGAGCGAGAACCAGTCATCCTTCAGGTTCGATGTGCTGACGGACTTGATCGCTCCGATAGGTATCGTCCTCTCTGACGCAATCTGAAGCTGGTTGTTGACCAGCGTTTGTGCCACGATGTAGACGTGTCGGTTGGTCTGCGTTGTCAGCTGCGTCCAGTTGCGTCCAGTTGCAGCAAGGAGCGTCGACTTACCAAAACAAAGATGCGCGGTGCCGGCTTGCTGGACCGGCCAAACTTAGAAATCAATACTTCGCCACGGCAAGAGAAGAGAATATTTTCCGATCCTAGCACTTGTCAGCCAGATCCTACACACATAAAGCATGCTACTCACCGTTAATGCCTGCACCGTTCCGGATCATCTCGCCCGGTCCACCCTTATTGCCAACGCCCACATAATCTCCGAGGAAGCGCCGCGACCCGAGCAAACTCATCCTGCGCCGCTCCTTCTTGCCCTGGAGGACCTGGTGTCCTTGGTCACGCAGTTTGATGAACTCCAGACCGCCTGTCATGCGACGCCAGAACCGCTGGATGCGGATGGCGCATTCAATGCGGTAGCGCAGGTAGTTGCGCCAAGCACGCTGAATCCGAATGGCCATGTTGTGCCAGTACCGGTCGCGCATCGTCTCCAAGGCGAATAGCGTCTCCGGGGTCTTGACAAACACCTTGGTGATACCCATCTGGTACTCTTCTGCGGGGATACTGGTGTCTTTGAGGATTTGGCGCGCACCAGACTCCTCATCGCCCGTCCACGTGTAGTCACCGGCGTAGGATGTCTTGGGCGACAGCAGGTAGAAGCGTTCCACAAACTTATCAAACGTTTGACGGTAGGCAAAACCAGCGCGACGAATACGGACGTTCTCCTGCAGACCCAGATACTTGATCTGGTGCAGCACGTTGCCTTGGTTATACTCCCGGGGCGCTTTGTTATCGTTGGGCTTGATGGTCCGAATGTAAGACGGCTGTGCCTTCATCAGGGTTGCCACCAGGTCGTTGGCAGACGCCTTGATCTTGTCGCTGGCGGTGGGCGGGCGTCTCTTATCATCCTGGTTCACCTGGTTGGGGAAGAGGGTGTGAACGAATTGGTTGCTGCTGGAACCGGCGAGGTTCAACAGATCCTTCAGCAGCTGGTCCTTGTTCTTGTCGGTCATGCCCTCGACTGCATAGCTGACGTCACCGGCGTAATGCTTGACGATAAACTGGCCCTGGCGGCTCTCAAAGTTGGGGTTCTGGCCCAGAAAGTTGAGACGGCCGACGAATGTGTTGTCCGCCGCGCCGGAGTCGGCATGCGCTGTCGCGCAGGCATCGTTCAGCGCTGCAAAGACACCCGGTGGACGCTTGTCCTCAATCAACGAGCAGACCACCTTGTTATCAAAGTATTTGATCGGGGTCCACTGAATCTGTTCGCGCGCATACTCATCCTGCTCCGCCTTCAAGGTCAATTGGATGAAGATCTGCTGCAACTTCTCATTGACGTAGTTAATACAGAGTTGCTCAAACGAGTTCTTTTCGAAAATCTCAAACCCGTAAATATCCAAGATACCGATGGAGTTCGCCACCGACCCTCTGGCGGTCAACGAAGAGTTGACCCGCCCAACAATCCAGTCAAAGAGATTGAAGTAGATCGCCTTGGACAACGCATCACGAACAGCCAGCGCCTGCACCGTGTTCAACGGAACCTCATAGACCGATCCCCTGCGGCCTCCGCGGGCCGTCTCCATCAACCGGATAGTGAGCGCCTTGTTCACCTGGGCGGCATCGACCTCCAGCAAGTATGCGACAAAGTCGACCACCGACTGGTCGGTGATGGCAGCGTTTCCGGAGTCGTCTTCGGCAAACTGGATATTTCCGATCCACAGAATGGCGGCCAGCATGCGGAACACCTCGTCCTGTTCGGCTTCGGCCATTCCAATGACACCCATTGCATTGATGGTGTCTCTAAACTCAGCGGCATCATCGACTCCGGGGACATCGTAGCACTTCGATCGGCTGGTGTAGAGGTAGGACTGAGGTTGTTGTATGCCAAACATATCTGTCACGAGCCGTTAGCGCGTTCACAGGAACCGGGAACAATGCGCCTACCTCTGTACTTCTGCGGTGCAGCCTTGGTAAATTGGTAGAAAATGTGGAAGTTTCGCTCATTCGTGATCTGACCCACCACTCTTGACTTCTCTAACAGGTAGTTTGTAATGTTGGCACCCACCGGCTCGCCATTGGTGTTGAATTCCAGTTCCAGGTATTTTCCGAAACGGGAGGAGTTGTTGTTGCGCAGGGTCTTTGCGTTACCAAACGATTCGAGCAACGGGTTGGTGGCCAAAACCATGTCCTTGGTCTGTTGGATGGACGAGTCGCTGCCACCGGATACACTGGCGATGTACTGCATGATCCGCTTGGCCGCCTCCGTCTTACCCGCACCCGACTCTCCTGAAATGATCACGCACTGGTTATCCTTGTATGACTTCATGTTGTAGTAGGCGGACTCTGCGACCGCGAAAACGTGGGGCGGGACTTCGAGTCGGTTCTTCCCCCGATAGGACTCGAGGACACGGTCGGTATAGATGCCCACTAGAATAGGGGGCGTGGTCAGCCATGCGACCATGAGCACTGATGGCACTCAGGGGAAGTCACTTACAGTCGCGGAACGGGTTAACAGACACCAACACATGTCCAATGTATGTCTATTGAAGTCGTCCGTTAGTGATTGTCCTCGCCTAGATAGCCTCGCCGGGGGGTTGTGGTAGTAGTGGTCGTGGTAGTGGTGGCAGCGGCAGCTTACGTAGATCTCGTCATGTTCGAAGCGGAGTTTGAGGTTCTCATTGATGGCCTCGTTGGAGATTTTGCTAAGGAGGGTAAGATCTGAGACACCAATCTCCTTCTTCTTTGTGCTTTCGAAGACGGCCTTCTTGACCTGAGGCTTGCCCGCCTGTCGCCCGTCGCCCACATCGGCGGCGGCCTTGGAGCGACCGAAGCCGCGACTCTTCTTCTCCCCGCCAGCCGGACGTCGTGAATGACCCTAACAACGAGAGATGGGGTTAGCAAAAAGACAATTTGATCCAAAAGGATAAAGCTCTGTCATCGCACTGGCAGTGAAATGGGCTGCGACTCACCATGGTTGTGGCTACCGACCTCCCCGGAAGTTGCGCCCAAGCGTCACGATATCTGGCCTATCAATCTGGACAGGAACGGGGCGGATAAATTCACAGCGGATAGGGAATGAACGCAGCGGGCGTATGGTTCATTCCAAGAAGCTAGTGGATGGTGTGAGGAGGGGCCCGCAGGAAAGAATAGGGTGTGTAAGGTAATAAGAAGAGGGGTATAGGAATGCGAAGAGGACGAGGGGAGAGAGAGAGAGAGAGAGAAAGAGAGGGAGGAAGAATGACGGAAGGGTGCCTTGTGGAGGAGGAGGAGGAGGAGGAGAGAATGGCCGGGGTCCCTCTTTCGCTATTCTAAGTAACGACAGACACAGACTGGAAAGAAGAGAGAGCCGGTGATTCGGCGGGCCGGCCGATGGAGCCTGCGCCACACTTGGGTTGCGCTGCCTCGCAATACGCGCAATCAACCTATTACTATTAGTACCCGACCATCCCATTTAATCAACTAGGATTGGTAGTACCAGAGTCATACTACTGTTAGTAAGTAAGTTGAGTACTTAACCGTAGGGACACTAATCTACTACTACTTCAGTGGTATATGTTGTTGCCTCCGGGGCAAAAGTAAAAGTAAAAGTAAAAATCCCCGAGCGCCAGTCGCCCCTGGAAGTCCCGGGT